TTATATATATATCTCGTCTAGAATCGTCATGATTGTACAAGCGACAAAAGTATCGCTTCCCCCCGAATGCAATCAACCATAGAATACCAATATCTGGATAACGATTCTTCACCTTGGTCTCTGTGTATACCCAGCCACGATATCAAACACCGAGATGCTTTTTATCTGACGTATGGGACATCTGCAATTAAATTATCTTAACAGACCACAAATAACTGATAAAACTCTCCAACCAAATAAAGTTGGAAATCAACAGCTTAACTATGCCTAACCCCATTCTACAATCCCCGAAATTCAACACCACACAACCAAAGTTTTACTAATGATGAAGTACACACAATAGGTCAAATCGAACCTGATCCATCCGATCATCGAACAATTCATTCATTAACAATTGAGAGTAGTCCACAAAAATAAACTCATCCCATCAACCTATCCATAACGGTTAGAAATGTTACACAAACAGAAATACCAGGAGCATATCACACCTCAATAAATATTAACGACATACCAAATGGAGATTGATACCAGATTACCCATATGAATTTTAGGAAGGAATATATATAACCGTCATTTTAGCTACATTCCTTTAAACCCATCAACAATATAATTGAATCTTATACCGATCAAGCTATTCCCATCTTAGGAACGATTATCACAGAAATCTCAAACAATCGGCAATCCATGTATAGAGCCAATCATGGCTCTCTTTAAGTCACAACTGTATGCGATTCCCAGGACTTCCACGTACTGGGTTATAGTTTCATTATAATTATGTACTCTTTGGTCTAGCCTGTAGCGAGCTTGGTTTAGTGGCTATGCCATTCTCGAGATGAATTCATTAATTTTATGGAATCCCTGATTTCCCACGGCATCTGGGGAAATTGTATTTTTTATCTTCCCGAATAAAGCTGGGCCCCAAAAAGTGAGGTATAGGATTCCTTTCTCCACATCATCAATTATATTCGTTGTTTGTAACTGCAGTGTAAATAATTACACAGGGGCTCCAGTGCCGAATATTCCTTGATGTTGAGTGGTCTATGCCCCCATGGTGCTGAAGTTGTGGGGCTTCATATGGGTATTATATATTATATCATCATTTAGATCTTTGCAACAGTTTGTGATCGGGTGAGAGTCATTAAGAATTTGTTTTAAAAAGCAAATTAATTTTAATACTAAAGAACTGATATAACAAAAAATGTTTATTAAGCTTTGTATAGTAAAAATTAATTAATATTCAAATATAAAAATTTACAAACTAAAAATATAAGATTAACGTGAACATAATTTTTAGTCCCTTTTATAGGGAAAATAAAAAGCGTAATTATAAATTAATATAAAATTTGCGCAAAGTGAAAAAAAGAGCGATTTTTTAGGTGTGATAGTTTTATTGAGGGTCAAACCAACCCCTTATACTTCTCGGATTTCTATTTATATCATCGGATTCAGGGCGATGGATCTAACTATCGTATTTGTAATTATTGAATAAAAAGTATGAAAAACTCCCGATAAAAAGAAAACACAAAAAACTATATGTTTTATTTTTCATAGATTTAAACCTAAACAAAAGAAGGGGGTAAAAAAATATTTTTAATTTTATGCATATGTCGTAATTTTTAAAGGGATCAGAACTATCCGAAATCATCACGGGTTTTAAAGGGATAACTAAAAAATTAGGGTTTTAAGTTAAGGAATGATAAAACGGTTGATAAAGAGGAATCTTATTTTAAAAAGCGTTTTACGCGCGTTTCGTTTTTTAATTTTATTGTTATTTATTAATTTTCAATGTTGTTTTTTTTGACCTTATGAAATAAGATATGTCTAATATAGAGTATCAATCGATAGCCTATCAAAAGATCCATTCAACTGGAGGTCAATCTCTCCCCCTTAATGAGCGAGTCTCTTGGGGGGTCAGGAATATTTTTATCAAAATAAAATATCGATATGGGTACCAAATGATAGCTAATTTTAATATCTTTTGACTGAAAGTCTTCATTTTTTATCTTTATGGGTATGACTTGGTCTGGGGGGTGGGTGGAGGAGGGGGGGGCGATGTAAAAAATAATTTTTGTTGATATGGGCATCAAATAAAAGGTAATTAAAATATTTTTTTATTGTAATAATAATAATCGCTCATAGAGGGCTGGTCTAGGTCTTGGGGGGTCAGGAATATTTTTATCAAAATAAAATATCGATATGGGTATCAAATAATAGCTAATTTTAATATCTTTTTAAATTTATTGATAATCAGTTATTTCAGAGACCTGCAGGTCCGGCCCTAAGCTCGGTCGGAGTATACACGAGTCATGTCGTATTTTAATTTTTTTAATATAAATATCCAGACTTGGCCGTATATTTTAAAACCAACTATTTTAAATCGCCATTAAAAATAAATAGAATATTTTTTCTAAAAAAAATCCGGGCCGGGCCGTGCAAATGGCACCTCTGCAGGTCTCTGGGTTATTTTATTCCTAAAAATTTAGAAAGGAAAATATTAAAAATTGAGCAAAATATGGGTAAGCGTGTGCTAGAAGAATTTCAGTAACATTTATTGCCTCTAGTGTATATAAAACTATAAAATTATGATTTTAAAGTTCCCAACAAAGATATATCAAATCAATCATAGGTAATTTAAGCTATTTTTATAGTAACCACATATACTCCTCAAATTAATTCATGTATATAAAATATATTAATTATTTATTTAAACTGCTAAAAATATTTAAGAGCTTCCGGAATGTCCCAAATTATGGGAAACCATGGATTTGCAATGAAATGGGTTGCATGAATAAAAGGTGTTAGTGTTTCAAGAACAACCTTAAATTTCAACGAAATGTTATATAGCATTGAAAAATTGTTGCAATAAATAATTATTTTTTTAATTAGGATTTTTTTAAAATATATATTCATGTGAAAATATTTAATATTTCATATAAATTTTAAAAAACAAAAATGTTTAACATTATTTTTCATTCATTATATGCCTTAATTTTATACTATTTACTTTTTTTTAAATTTTCTTTTTAAATCCCTTATTTTGGCCTTTTAATAATATGGTGCCAGCCAGACGGCAAAAAAATGGAAGAAAAAGTAATTATATTATTTATTTATTTTTCATGGGGATTCGTAATATTATTAAATATTTTTTAAAAAAGATTCCGAATAAAACGTAAAGGTTCAAGATCTCGAATCCCCGCTTTGGGATTCCGAATCCCACATGATTCCATATCCCAATACGACATATATAATATATATTTTAAAACAATTTAAGCCAAGTTTTTAAATTAGATCAACCACCAAGGTTCTTCATTATCATATATATAACATTTTATTGTTAAATCTTATATAGTGACATTATTAAACTAATTAATATTAAATCAATCAAGGTATGTTCATTTATATTTACTAATAAATTTATTTTATGAGTAATATATATATCAAAAGTACTAATTTCTTCAGATGACTTAACTCTGGCACCAGTATGAAATATTTTTTACATTTAAAAAAATTTAAGGACATTAAATCTATGCTATGCAAGTGTAGATTGTGCCCTAATTCAAATATTTCAACCTCGACGTCCAGCAGCTCAAATCTAAAAAAACATATGAAGGTAAAAATATGAATTCAGATTAAATTCTGATAAGGATAAAAATTTGATGAGGACCTAAAAGAAGATTCTTGTGAAGATGATCTAATAAGTTTTTTATAAAATAAAGATTATTCTTTAAATATTTATAAAAAATTCCCCCAATTAAATTTTTATTTATTAAATAGTATACAACGCCCCTCCTCCCCCTCCCATCATCTGCGCCAATAAAATGTGTGTTTAGCACTGCGAAAGCTATATTAAGCTTAAACGCGCTTGTATAACTGATCAAAATTTTGAAAATCAATCGTTGTTAAAAATAAATAAAAAATTATTTTAACAAAATAACTTATCTTTATATTATTTTTGCACAAATTTATTTTTTTTAAAAAAATCTTTATTTAATATTTCGCTTTTTTAAGTAACGAGTTAGTTTTTTGAATAAAGAGTAACGCGTTTTTTTTCAAACGCAAGGCGTTGGATGTACGTTTACAGCACTAAATTTTATTACATATATCAATATGAGCGTATCAAAGATAATGATCAATATCTTAATTTTTGTTAAAATTTAAAAATATCAAATACATTTAGTAGTGTTGTTTGCTTAAGGTCAGATCGAATTAGCATAACTTTTGATTGAAAAAAATTGTCCTAGGTACTGATCTGAGGATTAACTAATGCTTAATATATTATTTTATTGTTTATTTTGATCATTCATATTTTTATGCGAATTTTATTAATGAAAATAAAACATTATAATCAAACATTGAATATTTTAGCCTTCATATATTGCTAATGTTATTTCCGCCGAAACTTAGATAGAATTTTAAGTAGGATTTAACCGATATTTTTATCTGATTGCCCCAATATTTCATCTTTTATAGAATATAGGTTATCGATCAATATTATAAAATTTTTCAATCCGATAAAATGATGTCTTAATTCTTAAAAAAAATTTCAAATTTCATAATATATTTATTTGTTGCTTATTATGTAAATAAATGTCATTATATAAATGATTTATTAGATGTCATTATATAAATGATTTATTAGATGTCATTATATAAATGATTTATTAATAAAAATACTTTTAGATTCTTGAATATTTAAATGACTTATGTTATGGTATAGTTTAATTATAGAAGTCATATAATTATTAAAATGTATATGAGATGAGTAGATTTATGTATCGAAGCAAAATCGCTCCATTAGCCGATTTTGAAAAAAGGCCAACTCAATATTTTAGCCAAGAGATTTCGCTAATAGATGTCCAAACCTTGTGCCATCTATGAGCAAAACCTTCAGGTTTACATAATATTTTTCTGGGTAAAATAGTGAGTTAGCCGTTTTTAAAAATCGACTTAAATGGAACGATTTTGCAACACTAGATGTATTGCATTTATAAAAAATAAACTTGAAATAGCCAATCCAGAAGAGCGGGGCTAATGGACTCCGAAGAGGGTTCATTAGTATTATGTAATATAGAATGCCAATCCACGTTTGAAGTTTCGGCCTCTTCTACCTTAGCCTTGAGGGTATTTATTTGCTGCGTTTTGTACTGCAAGCTTTTCTGAAGGCAATTAAAGTGAGACGAATCATAATCACCATCCTCTTCCTCGTCATCATCACTCTCTCTTTCCCCTTCTGAGTGTAGTTGGGAATGAGGACTCTTAAAGGGAAAACGAAAAAATAATATTTTTTAAATTTTAATAGAAAACTTGAATCAATAATATATATCATTTGATTTGAGAACATAAACATTTAATTTTTTTTTAAATGTAATCGTCCATTTTTCATGATATTCCAACAAATAAATAAAAAATAATGAAGTGTAATAAAAAATGAATGAGATTGTTTTTAAGCTACTTTGCAAACTTTTTTAGAATTGGTTTCTTGCAAAGGGCTTTCAATCTCGTTCAGCTTGTCTGTCAATTCTTTCCTTTCATAACACAGCTGTTCGATTTGTCTTTTGGCCATCTGTAAATCGAAATATTTTAATTTCAGCTTTGTTTTAAAAAAATAGATATTATTTAAAAAAAGAAGACTAAGCGATAAAATTAATAAATCAATCTACAATTATAAAAATTTCAGATAGTGGCGTAGGTAAGGAGGGTTTTAGGGTTGAATTATCGTTTTGGAAAATATGATCAAATTATTGTTTTTTTCATATAACTTTTAAATCGCTATCTAATTGGAATATCTTTTTACTTTCCATAAAATTAATAAAGCACTCCTTCTTAGTTTTTTAAATTTTTATATAATAATCTCAGAAATTTCTCCTATTCAAAAAAGTGCGTATAAATATCCTAAAAATCGAATAAACAATATTATATATATTTTACTTTTATTCTAATTTTCACATAAAAAAATTGAAAAAGGGACGCTTGCAGAGACGCTATAATTCGTATAGGATGGACGTTTAACCATTTCTATTTCCAATTGTAAAAGCGCATGTATTAGTAAATAACATTACTAAATAGCCGCTCAAAATATGCACTAGAGAATAAAAAAGGGCATCTATTGTTAATTTTAATCTGATCATAGTAATCCATCTTATTTATGTGTTTCACATTTTCTAAAGAGCCATATCTATCTGACTAGTGTCGATTAAGGCCTTTTAATTTATATTAGTTTCCTACAAATTTGAGCTGCTATTAAGAAAAACCCCTAGGCAAATGATTTTTTTTCGACAGCTCGCTAAAGATTTACTTAAACGGCTAAAAATTTAGCATATACCCAACAATACTTACAACTGGTTTCTCTTTATTGACTGATGTATTGATCAATTAAATACTAATCAGGCCTTATTGGCCACCCAGATATTCAGTACTGCTTCTATAATTTTCGTTCTGGCATAGAGCCACTTTGTGGTTCGAAAAACTAATTGAGGAATTAAAAAGTACTAGTCGGTAGGTACAAATATTAGCGCAAACCAAATGTTTATTTTTTTTTAATTTTCCATTCTGACATGATGCCAATTTTTTTTATTTTGCCAATAACTTTTTTCCCCTTTATAATGTTCATCAAACGAATTAAAATAGGACATAATTATACACTAAACATTGATAAAATTTTCAGAATAAATTCTTTTAGTCGCTTTTTAATCATAAGATTGGCCAAAATTATGTAGTTAATAATTTTTTCGTCTATACTGATAAAAGCACCCAAGGCACTAATAAAGCATGCTTTTTGTGGAATTAGTGTTCCTTGTTTTGTCATAACTGAGATGATATAAAGATATGTTATATATTAATACTTAAAAAAATCATAATTTTAACCTAGTCCAACTGAGGTTTTGGGGGTCATACCTCTCTCCCCACCACTTCCATCCAATTTAAAATAACATTATTTTTTAATCCAGTTTTGAGATGAATTAAAACTGTTTTTCAATAAATATACTACTAAATTTAAAGATTTAAAAATGTGAAAATAGCGATGAAAAGAAAAATAATTTTTAAAATATATAGATTTCTTGTATTTCATTAATTCATAATATTTTTATAAATAAAATTACCTGCAAACAAACTAAAAACTCGAATTCGTTATGTATCCTTTCACAAACATGACCAATGTCTTCCGCATGGGTTCCGTCATGGCTTTTAGATTGAGCGCTACTACTCACTTTGGCCTCAATAGAATCTTTATTAGTCGTGCTAATATATTTTATGTTATGTGATTGTAGCGGCAGCTTCGGCTTAGGGCCAGCGTTCTCTTTGGAGGTCAAAACGTTCTGCCTTTTGGTGAGAATATCCTTCAATCGTTTATTCGTGGCCAAAATCTCTTCATTTTTACGCCTCAAGACGATCTTAATCACATTTTTTGAAAAAGGAATATATTAATTGTGTAACTAAACGTTTAGACTTCAATGCCTCAAGAAAGACTGACCAAGGTATAAATGGTCCAGAGAACAGATTGGATGAGTGCGATAACAAACAAAAAATGAAATATTTAAAAATATCTCTTGACTTAAGTTTTTGTTTTTAATACTTTTGGTATTTACATAAATGAATTTAATTTCAAAAAATTAACTAATTGTTAGTGTTGTTAAACGACTCAGCTTAGCCAGTCAAGTTTTTAGTCAAAAAATTTAGTCAAAACACATGTCGATTTGAGTCGATTAGTCGAAGTCGACTTGTTTTTACGACTCGAGTTCTGAACTGTGATGAGTCCTTAAACAAACATAATACAAAATATTATCTATTGTAATTTTTTTTTAAATTTTATTTATTAAATTTTAAAAAATATAATAATGAAAGATAATAGATATACTAGTAGAAATATTGTAAGTATTTTATTCCTAAAAATAAGATTGATTTGTTTTTGATAAGATTATAAAAAAGGAAAATTTTATTTTTAGAAAATAATATAATAACAAAGTAATTGTGGCCAAAAAGATATAAATTTTGCAAAATATTTTATAGAACCAAGTCGAAGTTTCGAAATAAAGAACAAATTTATGTCGTTTTCAAAATTAAATTATAACGAGCTTGGAAATTGGTAAAATCGATAAAAAATTTGTCGATTTGGATTAGCCTGTGGCGATTTCTAATAAGTATAAGTAGTATTGTTAAATAGCCGATTAGGCTTAGTGGGAGTCAAGTCGAGTTTTGGGTCAATTAGTCAATTCATTTAAGCCTCAAGTCGCTACTCGAGTTTTTAATTTGAGTCGTGAACCCAGATTAGTGCCCTCCCGTTTCAATCTTAGCGTTAGATATATTGAGGAAAGAAAAACGTTACTTTTGTCTTTATTTCACATTATCTTAATTTTCAGAATTTTATTCTATATTTAAATTTTCAAATCATCAATTCACATTATCTTAAGAGTAAACATAAACATCAATTTACATATATTTAAGAGTATTAACAACGTCAATGTTAACATCCTATTAACAATATTAAAATATCAAAATACAATAAAGGAAAATGTTTAAATTAAAAAATCGAATATGTTTATAAGTCTTAATGATAATAACTTTTATACTAAAATCAACCCACTAAGCAAACATGATAAAAGATGAAAAAGAACTATGTGACTAAAATGCTTCAAACATATAAATAAAAAATTTGGGGATAGAAGATTTTTAATAAATATCGTATATGAAATAAGAGAGAAAATAATCCATTATCGAGCTTTCATCAGGTTTATTTTATAATCTATAAAAAGTGTGAAAAAGTAAAATAGTAAAACCAAAAAATTTTTAATAAAAATATATAAATAATGCTTACAAATTAGAGGATATAAAAAAAAATATTTTTTGTTATACTTATATAGTTACAACAAATTTTCTTGTTCATTATTTTTTATTTTCCCTGCTGAGGATACATAACTAGGATGCCTAGACATAGCATATATAAATATTACAAAACTATCAAAGATTCCCTTGTGTATGAAATTATGACAATTAAAATTAATTATGTAAAAACTATATTTTTTAAAATGAAAAAAAATTACAATAGAAAGATTATTTTTATGTAGCCCGATCCAAACCCCAATGGGGCCTGGTCTACTTTAGCAGATATCTAGTTCCCTAGATTTTTATTATGTCATAAAAAAGAGAGAATATTTAAAAATAAATCAGGAAAGAAAATTATAAAACTCCTAAATTTTAGTTGTTAAACATCTTAGTCTTTATAATTTTTAAACTTGTTCCGTCTTCAGTTTCTGTTCCTTTTGATTGTAAGCGATTTCACGTTTACGGACATTCGACTTAAATTGAATCATTTCTTTATCTTTCTCCATTTTCATTTTTCTAAATTTATCACTTTCCTCCTTCATCTTGCGGATCAATTTAACGCGTGATTGTTTCATTTCCTAAATTTTTTTTATCAATTGAAACAGAAGTTTTTATTTTAAAAAATAATAACGAAAGATTTTATATAGTTCAGATATTTTACTTCAAAACCAGAAGAAAAATGTGAAAAAAATATTTTTTATGTCCCTAAAAAGTCCTCAAATATAGCGAATTTATGAGGTCTAAAAATGCAAACTTCTAAGTGATCTCACGAGCATAGTATGAGATTATTTCGATGAAAACTTGTGTGTATATTTTTTTTTATAGATATATCAATATTTTTCAACCGGTTATACGTCAATTCGGCGCGGCGAAAATTCAGCGCAGCATCAATTCGGCGCGTATCTATTACAGTTGCAATTTATTTTAAATTACTTAGTATTAAAATATAAGGAAGATTAAATAGAAGTCATTTTGAATGTTTAACTACTAATTATTTCTTCATATTTATTTTTACAAAAATCTCAATTTTATTTACTAAATGTGTAATATCGAAAAAAATTAACTAATATTTATACCTATTTCTTTAATGGACCAACTTACCACATTATAAGATATGTTGATTAGTAGCCAATATTATGTAAGCCTGGAGATTTTGCGCATAGAGGGAAGAAAGAAAAAGATGACTTCTATCTCTAATCTTATATATTATTTTGGCTACAATCTTAATAAATCGTTTTTAAAAATAGACCCAAAATACCCCCCTGATAAGTACTATAATGTTAAATCTTAAATCCCCTTTTCATGCCTAATTTTAGACAACAAAAAAATAAATATAATTATATTTTATTTTGGGATTTTCTCTTTTTATTTAAACAATTTTAAAGAATTCAATCATTATTTTTCTCAACAATAAAAATAAAAGTTTACATTCTAAAAAACATAAAATCTAAATCTTCTTTTTTTTATTTTTTCCGCCTAACTATTGACAAAAAATTAATAAATAGAATTATATTTTATCTTGAAATTTTGTCCTTTCCTCCATTTTAAAAAGTTAGTAAAAATCTTTATTTCTTTTCTGTTCCTTCCATAATTTAATCTTTATAATTTCTTTCCATAATTTAATCATTATAAATTGAAAATTCCTGATAAAGGTAAATATTAATATTATTTCTGTATATCACTTATAATTTTTATACATTTATTTTTAAGAATGCGTTTAAAATATGTTATAAGTGAACGTGGGCCAAAACAACTTGTTCATGATCAATACATATGAGAGAACTATAAATCAAAAAACGATATGGAAATGTGTTGAGTCTTATAAATTACTAGAAGGTAAACCTACCCATTGCAAAGGGCGGTGCCAATGAAGAAGTAATTCTTCATATAGATAATCATAATCATGTGTTAGATGGTATTGAGATATTAAAAACCGAATGTTAAATAATATTAAAAGACGTGCCATTGAGGTGACTGATACACCTCAAAAAATTATAAGCAATGCAATAGCAGTGGGTACCCCATCCCTTCATGCTGCCCTACCACTCATCGCGTCAATAAAGCGGACCATTCAGCGGGCTAGATTGCTTATAAGTTCTCCATTACCTAACCCGACGAACAGTTATTATCTAGATTTGCCCAATATCTATAGAATAACATGTTCAGGGTTGCCATTCCTTCAATATGATAGCAGGCATTTGCAACCGGAACTGCCAAGAATTTTGATATTCGCCACCACCCAAAATCTTACATTGATGGCGAAAAGCAGTCACTGGTATGCAGATGGCACATTTAAGACAACCACCTTAATTTTTCACTAACTTTGGATCCTCCATGTCCTGTATCAAAAAACGATTGTACCCAGATTTTTTGCGCTATTACCGAATAAAACCCAGATTACATATATAAGGGTCTTGGATGAGATAAAAAGATTAAAAAATAATCTAAATTCTATATCGGTAATGATCGATATTGAGCAGGCGGAAATAAATGCCTTTACACATTCATTTCCGTCAATAACTGTAAGAGGGTGACAAATGCTCTCTCTTGCATTTGTTCCCATATATAGTTGATGCTTTTTATGGACTTACATAAACACCATTCTATCAAGATAATGAAAGAATCTTATATAATCTTATAACATATTATGAAGCGAATTGGATTGGGAAAATTCTTCGTAATGGAGAAAGACAACAACCAAGGTTTCCAATTCCCCTATGGAATCAATATGCTGCTATATTGGAGGGAATCCCAAAAACAAATAATGCAGTTGAAGGTAATTTTTTTTTAAATTTGCCATCTTTTTAATCATTATTACAAAATCATTTTTTATAATTTACTTTGCAATTTTGTACTATAGATTGGCATAGAGCATTCTTATCTCTGTTATCATCGCACCATCCCTCTATTTGGAAATTTTTAGATGCTCTACGGTTAGAACAATCGTTAAACGGTATTGCATATAATTTTAATTTACAAATATAAAGTTTTTTTAATAGCATGTTTTGTATAGTATATTTTATATTTTCTATATTCATTTTATAAATAAATATATTAAATTGTGCGTTAATTCATTTTTGATTTATATAATAGAAAAAATTAGCCTAAGCATAATATTTTTTTTAAAAGGATTAATAGAATTTAAAGATTTTTAATAAATCTAAAAAATGAGTCAATTTGATTTTTTTGGATCATGCCTGGGTCTTTAAAAAAGGTCGATTTAAATTCTAGCCAAAATAATATGTGATTCGAGATAGAGGTCCAAACCTTTCTTTTTCTTTCTTTCTTCTATGCCCAAAATCTCAAATTACATAACATTGGCAACTAATCAGTATACCTTATTTGGTAAATTGGTCAACCAAATAAATAGGTATAAATATTGGTTGTTTATTTTTTTTGATATTACACATTCAGTAAATAAAATTGAGATTTTTGTAATATGAAGAAATAATTAATAGGACCAACATTCAAAATGATTTCTATTTAATCATTCTTATTTTTTTATACTAAGTAATATATAATAAATAGCAACTGTAATCGATAAGCGCTGAATTGTCGCCGTGCCGAATTGACGCTGCACTGAATTGTTGCCGCGCTGAATTGTTGCCGCGCCGAATTGACGTGATACTATATCAATATTTGTCAACCATTTTTGAATAATTAAAATTTTGATAAGTAATCACAAAAGTTGACTGCTGCATTTATGCACCGTTACCATCACAGTATAAATTATTTAAAAAATTCAAACAGATCAAATTTAACATAATGAATTATAATTATTAATATTATACCAAATACCAGTACCGTCACTAGATGGGAGAAGTGGGGGGGGGGGGGGGGAAAGGGGCTAAGCCCTTTTAAAAATTTTTTATACCCAAAAAAGTCATTTTGAAAATGTTAGCTGAAAATAATCTTTAAAAAAAAATTTTTGAGATTATAATATATTGTTCCTTTTATAATTTTTTATTTATTCATTCAAATTATATTGATTTATTGGCAAATATTCGGTTCATAAATATTCGAAAATATTTAAAATTATTTGTAAGCTCTTCCTTCTGGACATTTTCAAATTTAATTTTTTCTTATTATGCATCTGTTTTGTCAATTCAATCAAAATTATGAAAATAATAGATGACTAATTTTTCTACTTCATTCTTTATTTTATTAAAAAAATTTTTACATAAAACCTAATTAAAAAAATTATAATTTATAAATTTATAATTAAAAATAAAATTCAATAATTGAGTCCCCAAAAAGGAACCATAATTGTATCTAAAAATTTCTATTTGAATTTTTTGTAGAATAAAAAGAAATTCTCTGGGTTCTTTATGAAAAGTCGTATTTTATAACCCAGATTTTTTAAAAACATAAATGTTGAAGGCGAAAAATGCTAGTTAGTAGAAGTCACTACTGGAGTGAATATGAAGTTTTTAAAATTTTTGTATTTGTTTGTCATTTTAATTTCTGCCTGTGTTATTAAATTGAAATTTATGTTTAAAGGGAATGATGAGACACACGTGTAGTCCCATATGAGTGATTTGCCGAGGGCCCAAGGTATGGTTGTCATACGATCAGATCTTAAACCATCTACTTGAGATAAATTTGATGGTTCAAGATTGATTGGAATGTGTGCAGCTGTTAGGCTTCTATATGTTTTACAGCTGAGTACCGTTGATGTCGCCCTTGACTAAAAATACAATTTAAGCCATGTCTACCCTTTGAATCAACGGGTGATTTGCATTTGATGCAGGCATGAGGCTGTACTATATCGCAACCTTCATAGGGGACTACACGTGATGACTAATTAAAAAATCAAAATTCTACGAAAATAATTTATCTAAATATTTCATTTTTAATTAAAATTTTAAAATGAATTGTTTTCTAACAATTGAACAAGCGCTTGCACAAGTTTTTACAGAGGAACCAAATGAAGAAAGAGATAGTTAAAATTCCATCAAAACCCTCTGCAATTAGTGATTAAGAAGATGCGACGAAAAATGACTTAACAAATGACGGAGTTGTGCCTTCAGTTAATGCTGGTGAATAAAAGATTCATAATATAACTGATGACGACATACCAGAACCATCTTCTACAAGAAGCTATTCTGTAATTTCTCGCAATAAAACAGATACCTTATATTCTACAAGCCATTTCAATGGTGAAGAAGAAGTTATAATAAAATCTGAAAACGATTTAAACAGTAAAAGTACATCAGATATATTTTCTTTAATTTTAATATGAAAACGATTTGCATTGTATAAGTCCATCAGATATATTTTCTTTAATTTTCGAAGAAGACTTGGATTTCCTATGTAGATAAAAGTAATATTTATGCAAAACAAATGAATAGGCCTAATATATGTATAACCATCTCAGATAATAAAAGATTTATTGGAATTTTATTATTTAATGGATATCATTCACTCCTACAAGAAAGGATGTATTAGTCTAATGATAGCGATATTTATATTACATAATCCGGAATACAATGACCCAATTACAATTTCGAAATATAATAATATGATAAATTTTATAAAGTTAGGCCTTATATTAATATATTGAATAATATATTTCAACAATTCAGAATTTTTAAATATAATTTATCAAAAGATGAACAGATGATATCATACTGAGGTCGACATTCTTGCAAAATATTCATAAAAAAAAAACCAATTCGATCCGGATACAAATCTTGGATATTGGCTTCTTCCAACGGTTACGTATTTTCATTTGATAAATGTCAAAGAAAAAGCGACAATATATATGAATGTGGTGGAAATGTGATCATAAATTATTAAAGGCATTACAAAAACCAAATTATAATAAAATATATTTTGATAATTTTTTTTTACATCATTTAAACATTTGTCATACTTAAAAAAATGAGATATTTTATAACCAGAACTGTGAGGGATACAATAAAGCATTGCCGAGTTGAATCTATAGAGTTTTGCATTTAGCCCAGAAGTTACTAACGACTTCCAACACCAGGAAAAATTTTAAGTACAGGGTATGCAAGTCAGTTTGCATTATAGAGTGAAACCCCTAGTGATTCATCTGGGCATTATTTATCAAAATTATAGATGGAAAAAGACATAGATGCAGATATTGGCATATGCACTCAAGATATATGTGCTAAACGTGTCAAATTGCACTTCATATTAAATCTTTCAAGGATTTTTACAATATATAAACAATTTCAAGTTTTTATTATGAATTACAAAAAAGAATAAATATTTATGTTGTCTCTTGATCTTATGGTATTATACATATTTTTTTTCTTTTTCCATCTCTCAATGGTTAACTGTGCAGGCTAGATTTTCTATTTACGATTATTTTTCTTGGCTGATTTTTTTAGAATAACATATTTGGACATTGATCAATATAATTTGAAAAAATTGGGCCTTTATCCATCAGAAAAATCTTGTCTATTAATGGGTGATGATTAATAAAATATATCAATCAAAAAGTATTTTCAATTTTAATATTTAATACATACTTTTTACATAGATTATTCGATTAATTTCTTGAAAAATATTTAAAGCTATGAAGTATCAATATTTTAGTTTAAAAATAGGGCTGTGCCGATGTTAAATATCGAATGGGATCGTCACCGATATTTAACGTTTTCCAAAAATATCGGATCGGGCCGATACCTTATTTATTTTACAGTATTACAAATCTAAATAATTTTTTTAAAACAATGCAAATACACAACACCCTCTAAATTTTATTTCTTTTTTAAAATAGATTTATAGTTATTTTCAAAGTTTTTTTTATAAAAATAAAAAGGAACACCCAAATTTTATTTATTTTAAATCTTTATAAATAATAACGCCAATTTTATTATACAAAATTATTTTAAATATGGTATCTGAATTATAGAAATATTTTACAAAAGATAAAGATAATTTTGCAAAATGCGTTATCTGATGTATTATCTGAGTCTGCCTTCTGTACGGCAAGGGATATAGTCCATATAGTTGAAACTTATTGAAAATCTAGAGGCTCTCATATTTATTTTAAAAAATCTAATATATTATAATTTTATGTATTAAATATTACAATTTTATAATTCATACTAATATAAAATGGATATATTATTAAATATATTTTTTTTTAATTATAGTCATAATTGTAGAAATAAATAATTAAATTAAATGCATAATTCGATTTTTTGCATAAAAAATATTGATTTCTTAATTACATTTGGTTCAAAGGGGGGTGGTGAAAAATCAGTATAAATATCGGATCGGTTTTGAAGCAATATCGGGAAATATCGGATCGGATAGGCGAAAAATATGTGGATCGGCACAGCCCTAATATATACCTAAATTATCATAATTAAGTAAGGCAATAAGTGGTAAAATTGTATTTACTGAAAATTATTTAAATAAATGAAAAATATATATTTACTGTATTATAATGATAAATTATTTTTAAAGAGAATAACAACAATATTGGAGAATAGCTAAGATAAAGCATAAGTACATTATTGAGCATTAATATAACAATACAGCTAAAATTAAGTGATTTAAAGAAAAACTAACATTTAAAAAAATGCGCAGATATGTAGCAAAATATACTTCGTTCTTAAATATTATATGAATAACCATAATTTCCTATTTATTTTAATATCAATATAGGTGAAAAAAGGACATGCTAATTTTGCTTTAAAACAGAGAAAAGTTCACCAAACATAGTAAATAATGTTATCAGACAATTCGCTTTAAAAATAAACTTTTAAAATAATTATGTACACACAAGTAAGCAAATGAGTTTTGTTGTAAGTGATCAAATGAATTATTTGATAGACTTAATTTGCTACTAAACTTGTGAGAATATGCAATATTTTAAATTCGGGAAATAAATATAAAAAGATGATAAATTTTCCTGATATTATTTTTTAAAATTACGGTAATATCGGTTTGGAGTTTATCAATGAGGGCTTTGTTCTGTTCCTTGATTTTCATAAGTTTGTCATGATCGCCAATCTTTTTGGTCATGGTTATAATCTTGCTTTCCAATTCCAACAGTCGCTTTCTGCGTTTTTCGCTGAGTTCGCTTTTGAGCGTTTTGTTCCTTTGGGCTTCAAGTAAAGCTATGTTCAGGTTTTCCTTCTCGCTTTGCAACTCATCCACTTCTCTCTTTAAGGAAAATTTTTTTGATTTAATATTTGGATTTTAAAAAATCATAATTATAATATACCAAGATCTAATAAAAACTAATGCTGTAAAATAACGTTGTTATTAACGTCTTTAGATATTTTAAGGAAAAATGACTTTTTTAAGTAATGATAAACGCAGGAACTAACTCGTCACGTTAAAAAAATATTTAAAAAATATAGAAAAAACATATTTTATTTTTATTATATATTTTTTTAATTTTATAAATAATTTAAGTCAAGTTTTCAATTCAACCACCCAAAATTGAATTAATGGTGCCAAGTTAACGTAAAGCAAATGCTAAATAACGACCAAATTTATCTAAAACGCAATAAGAGAACCAAACTTGTTTTTAATACGTTTCTTTTTTGAAATAAATTTACGGCACTAAAAAAACCAACTAGTTTTATCATGAATTTTATGAATCGCAAAATTAATTTTAAAATAAATGTGTTTATTCGTGATTCCATATATCAATACAAGTAGTAAGAAGATCTCTTAATTGCTTTTTTTATTCATTTTTTTTAAAATTTTATATATATACGCTATATTTTCATAATCGTTAAATTGTTTTTTATATTTGTTTTAAATTTTTATAAATTTGTTTTTTTTAATAAAAAAATTAATGTATTTAAAAAAAATAAATACAATATTTAATAAATAAAAATATATTTTTTTTATATATTCGTAATTTCTAAAAAATTATATTTTTTTATAAAATTTGAAGTAAATAATTTTGTAGTATATACTCTACAGAAATAAATCAATTTTGAAAAAAAAAACTGAAATTAATAATAATTTTCGTAAATTTTATTTTAATGAAATTGTTGTTTAAATATTCAAATACTTGATATCTCTCTTTTAAAGCTAGGATCTCGTTTTCATTAGTTTGCATCTGATTTATAAGTGTTTCCTTGTCCGATATGGCCTGGGACAGTGACTTGAGTTCCAAGTTCATGTCGACTTGATCCATGACGTCGTTCAAATTGTTAGTCTTACCATTTAGAATGGAATTATTTTCGTCGGCCTGCAATGACTTATAAATTTATAAAATAATTTAAAATTTCTATATAAAATAAATATAAATTCAAATAAATTTAAATAGATAAATTACGGAGTTTCTAAAAAAGATACATTGCTAAATATGTTCATAATTCCTTTCATTGTTTGACATTTTTTTCAATTAAAAGAGTTAGAAAATTTAATAAAAATTAAGATACCAAATTTTAATAACAAAAATGTGGCTTTACATTATGAAGTTGGCTCTTGAATTCTGACATATATTCATCTCTCTCTTTTTCCAATACTTGCTGGCTCAATATTTTTCCTTCTAAGGATTCCACGTTGAATTTCAATATTTTGTCTCTATAAAATTCTAACTCCTTCTTTAGCAAATCCATTTCGGATTCCATCTGATACAAAAGATAAAATTACAACAATTAAAAAAGAAGGAAATCCATGTGAAATTAAACAGTGTTTCGGAGGAATGATGGTTATACATTTATGTTGTAAATTCTATGAAAGATATGTTCAAAGTCTATATCGATATCCATATTAGTTTAACTAATCTTAAATTAATTTATAAACATTTATAACGTATCTTGGAAAAAAAATAAGAAATGCGTCATTTAGGAAGAAAAACTTGGATGTCATATACTTATTTATCACCTTTTTAAGTTAAAAATAAAAATGGAGAAGAAACGTTCTGAAATTATAAAATTAAAAAATATTGTATTATAAAAGACGATATATAAAACAATCATATAATTTTTTGATGTCTAAAATTATATGAATACTAAGAAGCGCATTCTTATTTATTTTAAATAACCTTTTTAAATACAAAGAGCCCATAATATTTTATTCATAAAATTTTTTAAATAAAATAGCCTTTTTTTATAAATTTCTAATTCGATACCAATTATTATCTATCTAAAAAAAGATCATATATAATTATTTTCTAAATATATCGCCCTTTATAATCCATTATTTGTTTCACAAAAAATCAGGGGTTCGAACTGAACCCGAAGAATAAAACCCGGGTTTTGGGGAAAAAAATTGAACCGAACCGAATCCCGTTTGTAAAATTTTCAAAACTCCAAACCGAACCCAGGAATTTTATTTGAATCCGGGTTCAACCGGGTTCAGTGTATTGTTTAAATTAATATAAGATATTTGTATAATTGTAAATACAAATATTAATAATTTACTTGACATTTTATAATATTTTCAAATTTCCAATTAAGTGAAGTGTTAATAAATTTAAAACAATTAAATTCATTTACGCCATTTATTTTTAATTTTTAACTTATTCTCAAAGATTATTAATTTGAGGAAAATGAAAGTGAACATGTCAAGTAAAAATTATTATATTGGATTTTGTTAATTTAAAGAAATAGGTCTAAATAAAATTTTTTAAATCTATACATTACCATGCTTTGTATATTTAACTATATAAATAAAATAAAATAAAAAACTAATTTTTTATACCAAATTTATGTCTAGTTTTTTAATTATGATTTAAATATAAAATATTTTTTTTATCAATTCAAAAATTCTTAAATCTGAGTTGAACCCGGAACCAACCCCGAGTTCAAAAATATTTCCCTGAACCGAACCCACCTATTTTTTTTGTAACTTAAAACCGAACCCGAACCGAAATCCCTGCAAAAAATTAATATATATTAAATATAATTGAAAAATGTGTCTTTTGCATTTTTTTAGTCATGACGAGAGTTTCGTGATCTCAAACAAGGCCCTTCTCAAAAGCATTTTGGTTTTACCGGAATCAAAAGATTTTGAATTATCCGGTATTTTCTTAAAGAGAATTTCTAGTCAAAATTTTATAGATCTATTCAAGCGCATCCTTAAATGTATGCAATATTCTGGCACGGCCCCAAACTCAACCTAGAGTGGGCTATAAGATATCATCGTTTTTACGGGCCGGATATAAAAATATAATGCAACACAAGCCATGTATAAAACCCAGATGTGGCCAGATTAATAAAAATATTTAAATTGTATGATTGACCATTAGAAAATCAGTCCTGGTCATGAAATGTTTATAAAAATCAAGTTCGAGTTTAAACCCTGAAAACATTGATGGGGTTAATACAGACCCGAGTTTATTAAAAAACGTTATTACTTAAAATCATGGAAAGTCAGGATTTTTCAGTAGTTTATGGTTAAACAATTTGCATTCAAAATTTATTTTAACTTTGATGACTGCTTTTGGAGATATCAATAAATTTTTATCAATTTTATTATCGAATTTTTTTAAGTTATAATTTCAATATGAATAGAAATTTTGTGTTTGAAATCTAATAAATTTATTAATATTAATAAAAAAATAAAGATTAGTAAATTTTTAATGTTAAATGATTTTTTAACATAAAATAATTTTAAATTTTATTGACAAACTCAATTATATAATAGTAGATAAAGTTTTAAAATATTAATCATAATAGATAGATATAGGTAGACCTGTGCGCCGACGACCTTATCGGAGGCGGCGTTTCTTTATTTAAAACGATCGGTTGGCGGCAGCTAGTGTTTGCAACGGTCCGGTCCCGTCCGGTCCCTTTTTTCTAAAATAAGACCGGACCGATGGACCGTTAAGTCAAATGAGGCCGGACCGTGGGACCATCGGTCCGGTCCCATCAATTTTTTTATCAAGCCACAAAAGTTTATTTAGCATTAAATTTATTTCAATATTTTTAATTATATCAAAATCATTTTTATTATATTATACACAATACATGCCTAATATTACAAAAGAATATTAATACAAATTTATTGAATACAATTTAAATCAATTTGATTTACATAATTAATTAGTTTTATATGTATATATATATTGCGATAGATATTTGATTATAAATAAATTATATACAAATAAATATTTTAATTATCTTCTAAAAAATCTAAAATTATTCTATTTTTAATCCAAGATTCAAGTGTCATCATAGATTGAACCATCTTCGGATTCATTCTATTTCGTTTTTTTGTTATTTTATCACTAGCTTTGGAAAATATCCGTTCACATGCTACAGATGTAGCCTGTTGTGGGAGATAGTCCATAGCTATTTTGGCTAGAATTGGAAATCGATATTGATTCCCTTCCCACCAATCTAGTATGTTAGAATTAATCGGATATAAAATATCAGATAAATAGCTTTGGATTTCATTATCATCTTTCTCCTGATGTCCCAGTTCCCATGAGCCTATCCCTGGCTATTCTCTCCCTCAAAGATATTTCCTTAAATAATAATGATCAATAAAATAAATAAATATTTTTATATACTTTGTTTGACTTTATGCCACTTGATAAAGTGCTTGCATATTTTTCAAATATTTCTTTAAATTGAATAAAATTTTCATGAGTATTTAATAAATTAAACATGTGAACCTAAATAAAAAGAAATTTTGTAATATACTATAAATAATTAGGAATAACTTTTTTAATTCTGGGGTCTAATAGACTCCCAATATAGGACTCCATACTTAAAATTGTATGAATATAGTGATTAGTTTTTTTTGTGACTTTCAATGTAAAAGGTGCATCAATAAAAGAGGGGAAAGAATTAGAAGTAAAAATATTTTCAATATGTATTTGTATATTTTCCATTAGCATAAGACGTATGCCTAAATAAGAGAAAAACTATTTAAAAAATTAAATAAATATTCAACCAATGGTTGGATAGGAGGATCCAGACAAACCCAAGGTGGTTTCATAGAATGGCTTTAATAAAGGAATTAGTTCCTCTATTTTATTTTTGTCACCATTAGTCAAGGCAATGTTACCAAATGTTTCATATTTAAAATAACAAAAAGTTTTTATTGTCTCAAAATTCTAATAATAAAAAATATATAATCCTATTAAAAATATAGATAGATAATTTACTGATAAAACCTTCTCCAACATCAAATATGTTGAATTCCAGCGGCTTTCAACATCAATTGGAATTTTTTGTCCATTATCTTTAAGTAATATTCTATATTTTTGAAGTAATAAAGGACTTTGAGATATGTTTGTTGTAATTGATCTTACTTTCACAATAACTTCATCTATATTTTTCAGAATATCCTGGCAAATGATGTTTATCACATGTGCCATACAGCCATATGATGCAAATGGGTTAGGAATCATGTAAGTTTTCAATACTGAGTTTAAAGCTTATTTGCAGCATTATCAGTTGTTAAACTGATAATTTTTTCTTTTAAATTGTATTCAATAATTAATTCAGTAAGGCATTTATATATATTTTCAGCTTTGTGAGGATACGGCACATAATTAATATCCAAAATTATTTCTTTCATTTTCCATGTTTCATCTATATAATGGCCACTTATAGATACATATGGAAGCTTTTGAACAGACGTCCATAAATCTGTTGTTATAGCCAGTTTTCCTGGCAATTTAGCTAGCATGGATATAACTTGACTCTTTTTATTTAAGTAATTGTTTAGAATATTTTTTTTAAAAGTATTATAAGTGAACATTTTAATATTTGGATTTATGTAACCAATCATTTCCAAAAATTTATTATCATTTATAGGGCATGTAGGGGGATAGAGGACGTTATAATAATTTCAGCAATGTATTTATTGATTTTTTTATTTTGCTTAGTTATAATTTTACTATTATACATATAATCTGTAGATAAATTTATTTCTTTCTGAACTAATATTTTTTCCTGTGTAACATTCTTATGCTTAAGAAACAAATGTCGTCTCAAAGTAGCTAAAATATGATAAAATTAGTATGTTTATTTGATTAAGTTTTTATTCATTATATGCATATTTTACTTGTGCTTGAAGAATTTGAAAGTTTGTAGACATATTTGACATGTTTTCCCAGCTTTATCTTTTTTGAAAAATTTATAAAGATCTTTCACATCCTGTAAAGAATTTGCTAAATTTTTTCCCAATGATGAGTGTTGGTTGTGGTTCATCAATAGTTATTATTTCATGTTCATCCATTTAATTTATAAGTAAAATACTAACTAAATATTGAAACGGAAGAATATAAAAAGTAAAAGGTGAATGAGATATTATAAAGTGTTAGGCATTAAATAATCATGTATTATGTGTTCATGTACATGGCACATTAACTAAAAAACGATTAATAGTATAGTAAACTTTTATCTTTTTTAATCGGTCGGATCGGACCGGACCATAGGACCGTGTTATGGGACCGGACCTTCCCATGGGACCCAAGAGCATGATGGGACCGACTTGGATCGGACCGGACTGTCGGTCCGACCGGACCATTGCAAATACTAGCGACAGCGAATCGATTTAGAGGCCGCCTCGAAAATCGAAGGCGCTAATATTTTTCTAACTTAAATTTTTTAAATAAATTATAAATTATTGGAAACACTTTTATAATAAAATTTAAGCTTTATTATGTAAATTTATAATTAAATTACAATTATACGGTTTTATTAAGTTATAATTATTATGTATATATATATATATTATTTTATTTAGATTTATCGGACATAATGATGATCTTTTAGAGTTCAGAGCGAGCTCGCTATGGCAAATATACGCTTGCTTTGATGTTTTTTTCAAAATATCAACAAAAATATCAATTAGTGAAAGCTAAATGTAATATCTGCGCCTAAAAATAAAACCAAAATCATAAATGGAGCGATTTCATCCTATATTATAATATGCTCTGCAAAATGGTGATATTAATTATACTTGCAAATATTACATAATTCATTAGATAATCTACTGCTGCAATAATATATATAATATTTAAGGTAAAAAAATATACTTGCAAAAAGTATTCGTCAAAGTTTTAAATATTTTTGAAAATATTTAGTAGGTATTTAGTATTTATATTTAAGAGACATTTTTTTAAAAAGGTATTTGTATTTAAATTTCCAAACTCTGCCCGGGACGAAGTCTAAAAATTCTACCTATGTAGGTCCCAGAAAATTATTATACTGTGTTTCATCACCATAAGGTGCAAATAGTGCGTTATTTCAATAGATATGAGTTTTTAAAATATCAATATCCTAACAATTTATAGCATTTTATACATGTTTTCTATCGAATTTACTATGTATCCTCTCTAAGATAATAATTAGTTTAAAAAGTGTACAAATTTGTTTTAAAAAAAGATGGGTATAACAAGGAAAATAAATTACTGCGATATTTTGCCCCAAAGAGTTTTGAAATTCAAGGACAACTTTTTCTAATTTGAGCTTGTAAAGGTTATCCTGCTGTGATTGGGCATAAACTTCATCGAATCCATTAATCGATTTATGGTCCTTGAGTTCCTTGTTGTTTCTAAACAGTGAAATCTCTTCCTCCAATTCTCTGACCTTATATATGGAAAGTAGACAATGAATATAGATAGATGGTAAAAATAAAAGAGTGTTTAAATGATTTAAGCCTGTTATGGTCCATGAAAATAAGAAGGCAAAGGCTAATAAGCAAAACCATAAAAACGCTTAAAGCTATTTAGCTAACTAATAAAAAACGTAGAATATTGTAGCCTATTTTTTTTAATCGGCGGAAGCCAAGCTAATTGTTGTATATTTAAATAGCTCTAAGTAAACCGATTTAGTATGTAAATAACTCAAACATTCACCGTTTTCAAAAATACCTCATTTTACTATATTTTTATTTTGTATATAGTTTTTAATTTTTTTTGATATAATAAACTTGGTTTATTATTGGGATCTAAGAACAAGGAAAAAATTGAATCTTTTTCAAATACTTAATATGAAAATATTGTCTACTAAAGTATATTTCCTCTAGCTGATCAGTATTAAAAATGCTGAAATGATATGAGATGATCTTACCAAAAAAATGAAAAGAACGTATGAAAAGGTTTGCATAGAGTTGTATTTTATTTTTTGAATAATTCGTAAAGGAAAAAAACACAATAAAAAATGAAATATTTCAATGCTTCAAAATAATGTCCTTTCTAGCTCTACCTATAGGAGTTCGGAATTAAATAGCATTATGTCAAACTTAACATCAATCTGCATTTAGGGTGATGAGAGAATTTATTAAAGATATTAATAAATACCTTGATGTTTTGAAGGATTTTTAGAAATTTATAAATATTTCATATGGTATGATGTGTTTGTGCATTTTAAGATTTACAGGCAAGTCTAATTTTAAAATATTTAAATATTATAATGATAAAAGTCAACGAGCCTTTCTCACTCAATGGAATATCCCATATGTATTAAAAAATGAATGGAAAATGAGTTTTAGAATTGTTAATAATAAGATAATAAATCAAATAAGAAACGTATTATTTAAATATTCTTTTATTCCAAATCTAATGGAATAAGTCTGGTATGCTATATTAGCGTAGATGGAGGCGTTACTTGATAGTGATGGCGTATGCTTCAAAGAATTTTAGAGATGTCTCCAATTATAAATAAAAATGTCTTTCATGCTTTGAAGGGAAAGGTTTATGCAAGCTGTGTGAGAAGTTGTATGATTTACGGCAGAGCGACATGGACAATTAAGGCGACTCAAGAAGTCAAATTAGAAAAAACGGAGATGAGAATTATCTAATGGATATGATGCGAAATATCTTAATGAGAAGGAAAAACAAGGAACTGAGATAGAGGAATGGGATAAAAGCAATAGGTGATATCTAAATAATAAATAAACTGAGATGGTTCGGATATGTTAAATAAAAGGCAAAAGATGTTTGTTTGAATAGTTGCAGTTGGCTGAAAGCTGGGGGAACAAGACCTAGAGAGCGACCAAAGATATGATAGATGAAAGTGCGATATGACATGAAAAAGTTAGGTTTGATCCGAGGCCATTCCCACGACACAAATGAAGGCAATTAGAAAGAAAATAGTGTACCGAGGTAAACCTATAAAAGGGCCACTAAACGACGAATAAGAATTAGATAATGTATTTGATTATAAAATGCAATATAATATTTAACTCCAAAAAACATCCCAAATTTTTTTGACTTGATTTTTGCAGATGTGAATAGAGTCCCTAATTATAACAAGCCCTTTTCCTATTATTTTTTGTAAATAATAGTTTAATCGCAGTATATATTAGAATATACCCCAGCCTATATATAAATATTGAGAATTTAAATAATCATGTAAATGATATTATATTTTTTATTATTAAGCTAATCAAAAGAAGTTTAATTTAAAAACTCTGTTTCTAAGTCTGGATAACTCCTCTTGGTAGGGGTCAATGTTGATGACAGGTTTGTTCTTGATTTTTTTTGCCCTATCTGCGTATCTTAGAGTATTCAAGGTTTCTTCAACGTTAAAAAGGCTAGGACTAACGCAAGCTATCATAACAGTGTGACTATTTCCACCTAAAGAATCTTCATTGAAAACGAGATTTTAGATTACTTTTATATTTGTATTTCCAACACCTCCCAAAATATTCATTTATAAATGTTATTCTATGAATATACCCTGAAGAATTCTGGTCAATTTTGAATCCCTATAAGGAACGAAACCATTTTCCCCTTTCTTCTTGGAATCTTCGGAGAGTGCATTAATTACGTTTCCAAGTGCTAGGAGTCCCCTGTTTATATTGACTCCTATAATTCGGTTAATGATTAATTGATTAGCAATGTTAAAAACTTGATCATATATAAAAAAATTTCCAAATATTTACATGAAATTTATTAAGGTTTGAAAATAATAACCCAAAATTTTTAATTGAAAAAGTTTAAAAAAAAATGAAGGATAAAAAAATAACACTTTCTACGAAAAACAAAATATAGTTGGGGTCACTGAGTTCTCAAGAAAGTCATAATTATATTTTAAAGTTTCTAATATATTTTTCAAAATAAAATCTCTAGGTTAGTTTGAAAATGTCTATTATTTTTTTTTTTAAAAATTGAATGTTAACAATTGGGGTTAAGATATAGTTATTTAGTTTATTATATTTTATCTTCCTCGATTAGGCTGTTATTAATAGATTCGTAATTTTGAAGAAAAGATGAGGTACTTATATCCATATGTTTGTTTCTCGATCTAAATGTTCGGTTGTATGCAGAGTCGTTATTCGCTCCTTTTAAAAGTAGCGCGCTACCGCTATCGCTATTTATCAAAAAAATTAGCACGCTACCGCTATTTGTCAAAAAAAGTAGCGCGCTATTAGCCACTTTTTATAAAAAAAATAGAAACAAATTTGTTTTATTTTTTGCTTATAAGGTTATTGTATAGTAAATATATAAAAATTAACATTAATAAATATTAAAATATAATTAGTTTTGATTATTAAAATAAATATTTATGGTAATTTGTTGCATTTTATAAGTTTTTACCTTGTGTTATGTGTCCAACTATCTTCCGTGGTGCATATATACTTTAAAGTTATCTGCTATTTTATTTATGACATTGGCTGAACTGTATAAATGATAAAATCAACAATAACTATTAGCCAATTTCTGAGAAATATTGGCATTTGTATTATTAATTAATTTGGTTTGAATTGAATTAGTCTTTTTGGATGTAGAGTCGCCTATACCAAAATTATTTAGATGTTTCTACATTTCCTTAAAACTATTGGCATGAACAGTCTTGTATAATAAATACTATTAGAATGTAAAAAATGACAATTTATCATTAGGTGTTTCTTGAGGTTATAACTGGATAGATTTGAGTAAATATTTTTTTTAGATTTTAAACAAATAAACTTGAAGCCAGTTTTGGTTTTTATATTTATTTTAAAAATTTCAAATCAAGAGAATGGGAAATTTGTATTATAGCTATTAAGAACATTTTCTTCCCTGTTATCTTCCATTTTATTAATATCATTGTCTGAATCACTTTCAACGAATTGGATATCCATAGGCGATGACATTTTAAATTATTAACACGTAATTTAGGTTTATAATAAAAATGAAAATATAAATTAAAAATTGAAAATATATTTTAATATCAAAATAAATTAATAAATCATAAAAATTATAATTAATTATGATTTTATATTTAAATTTTCATGTTTATACTTACCTTCATTATATTTTTTGAAAGTAGCTAAGTAGCTTCAAAAAAAGTGCGCTAAAAAATTAAATAATTACAAAAAAAGTAGTTGCTATTAGCTATAGCTACCAAAAAAGATAGCTCGCTAAGAGTTGGGCAGGTCCTCCAAAAAAAGAATCTAGGATACAGATTCTTTGTTAAAATGAATCTTAGATACAGATACCAGTATCTTTTTTAAAATATCAAAAGGATACAAGATAGAAGATACTTGTATCTTTTACCTAATTAGATCATTACAAGATATTTTAAATTATCACTATCAATTAATAGTTTATAAATTACAGTTTTTATTATTTATTTGTGAAGAACATAAAATACGCATATAACATGAATGAATATTTACAATAATTAATAAAATATTTAATGATGAGTTAATTATAATAATCAGGCCATTTAATATTACTAATAAATACCCCATTATTACATAAGATAGGGAAGGGAGACTGGTATTTTTAATGGGAGTTGAAATATTAATTTGCAAAAGAGTATTTAAATTATATTCATTATTTTATAAGATAATCAAATTTTTCAAATAATTTATCATTAGATTGCTTTTTTGGCCTACTTAACATCGTGCCAAAACTAAATTATCTTTCAATGAGCTGAATTATATTTATAAAAAATTTCCTTAATGAAAGGATAATTTAAGCATTTATAATGTATTTCGACTTTCTTTAATATAATTTAAAACCTCAAGTTCAATGTTATTTGTATTATTGAACTCAGAAAAATTTATTTCACTGAGAGAAAAATAATCAGCATTTTTTTAATAATAAGTTAAATCTATCGGTGTTATAGTTTGAACTTGTATATACTCTGGTTCTAAATTTAGGGCTTCTCTTATTAATATATTTTGAAAATATTTGCTTTTATCATCTGACTCAATCCATTAAAATATGGATGTGATATTGATATCAAAAAAGCCTCATTATATTCAAATCATAGGAAAATATTTTCTTAAAATCTATTGCCCATGCCACCTTAGGCAACTTTTAATAAAGGTAGCAATATTATAAACTTGAATATTTAAGATAACCTATGCCCCTTTTAACCACACATAAATAATATACTTTAATATGTTTAACAAAATTTGTGTTTAACCATTTATCTTTTTTTGTTTATACAAATTTTACATCTAGCTACGTTGTCTTTTTTAACTTTTATTTTTAAAAAATTTCCATATAGAATTTTAAGATTTGGATTTGATTAGCGGGAACTTATTTCCATAATTTAAATTTTACTACCATGATTGTTAATCATTCTATAAATTAAAAAAATGTTACATAAAATTGCAACGATATTCATCGAGTTACATTTATAAATAAAATATAATCTTTATCTCGTTTTGATATTGTTATTTTTTTTAGCTATCTACCTTAATATGAGTTGTAAATTCTCCAACTAATTTTGATTGTCATTATATTTAAAATATGATGGAAAAAAAATAAGGAAATTAATACAAGATTCTCGAAGAAATATGATATATACTTTGATATGTAATATTTTAAACATGAATATTAAAAAGAATCTGTAGTAATTTTTGTCAAGAAAATGAAAATGATACAAGATTCTTTTCAGAATAAAGGATCTTAGATAACTAGTATCTTAATAAAAATGTCAAAAAGATACTGAGTAAAGGATCTTGTATCTTAGATACAAGTATTCGCGGTACTGCCCAACTCTGGCTACAAGTAGCTTGCTACTTTAACAACTCTGGTTGTATGAAGCTAGATATCAATTCATCAAGGCAAAAATAATTGATTCAACGAGATTTTGCTGGCAGTTAGGAAAATGCCCAGTTAAAATTGGCTAATTTTATTTTTAAAATGTTTTATATCTGTAATTTTAACAAACTATTAAGCGCGAATGTTTATTAAATTAATTTTATATAATAACTTTAGTGCGAACAATCGCCAATGCTATTCAGCAAAGACCGACCACAAAGAGAATTTTTTCAAACAAAACTCTTACTAAGAACTCTTTAGAGCGACACCTATATCATGAATATATAATCTCGAAAATTTTATTATGAAGGCGAGACTTAAATCACAGAGAATATATTAACGCGAAGTCAATAAAAGTAAAAAAGCTTAAAATATATAGTATACTTAGAAAAAAATATATCTTGTTTCATATATTTATCTGAGAGATTTATCTTTTAAATTGAATCAGTTTTTTGGCAAGTCATTTTTATATCTGAGCATCAAGAAATAATTTAGGAGATTCAATATTTTTTTTATCGTTTGAGGATTTTTTTAGCATTTAAGTTTAAATTCTGGGCGATTAGGTCATTTTTAAATTATGAGACTCGATAAATCTGGTGATAATTTTGATACTTATATAATTTAGAAGCGATAGCATAAAAAGTAGTCAGGTGGATTTTTGATATTTTGGAAAGAAAATGTGACACCAAAATAAATGGTTATGATGAAAATGAAACGATTACAAATAGATTATTTATATAATGTTCAGATAAAAATTTATAATGATAACTATTTTATCAAATGGGATTTGGGAAAATGAAGAGTAAATTCAAATTAAACGAATCTTTTAATTTTTTAGCTGGTTAACAATTTGATATTATATTTTTTAATATATTTCTAAAAACTCTTGGATAAAATTTCATAATTTAAAAAAAAAGAGGTTCTAAAAATTTGTAAAATTCTAAAAATAAATATTTTTAAAAGAAAAAAAAATGATGAAGGTATTCTTATAATTCTTCCAGTCATAAGCGTTTAAAATTATTTCCCATAAATATCTAAAAGTTTCGGAAAATGTTTAAAGGCAATCAAAATTTATTTAATAATTCCTTTAATTACTTGAAACCTCGAAACTTTGAGGGGTGATTTTAAAAAATAAATTTGAGATTTAGTTTTATTTAAAACAGAGACCTGCTGGTCAAGGTTGTCACCATTTCTCTATCTTTGTACCAAATTTAATAAAAAATATATTTTACTTAAGAAAATATCGATTTTACGAAAATTTTGATTTTTTAAAATAAAACTCAATATTATTTCTTATACTATTTTTTTTTTATTTTTTTTTAAACCATTAAAGTTCATTTTTTTCAAATTATTTACTAAAATATAAAATATCAATTTTATTCGGAATTCATTTAAAAACATCCTACTAGAGGTAAATTACCTTTTAATATTTATTTTTTTAGACCATCATTTATTTTTTAATAAACAGATTTATACTAATTCTAAATTACTAAATGAAATTGATACCTTTTAATATTTAAAAAAGGAAATCAGGCCGTATTAATTTTTTTTACAAAACCCGGCAGAGGCTGATTTAAGAAAAGCAGATTTATACTCATTCTAATACATTAAATTGATAATCACCTTAATATTTAAAACAGGAAACCCAGCCGTGTTAAAATTTTATTTACGAGGCTGATTTAAGAAATTAAATCGTATAATGGAGCGTTTTATTAATTCATTACTTTTATTTTCAAATTCTGTATAATATGTTTATAAAATACAGCCAAAACTTTTTAAAATACCAGATCTAAAAATTTCGGACTGGCCCTAATAATAAATTTTTTTATGAAATCCGGCCAAGGCCGATATAAGAAAATAATTATATAATTAGGGCTGTGCCGTTATTAAATATCGAATCGGATAGGCACCGATATTTAGCTTTTTCAAAAAATATAGGATAGGGCTGATACCTTTAAAAACTGATCCTATCGTTTTGCTTTTTTGCTATTTTATGTTATAAGTATTTATATAGTTTATTTTAATTATAATATTTCAAAAGATTTTTATTTATAAAAATTGAAAGATTCTAAAAAAAATTTTATTTATTTTTAAAACAATTAAAATGCACAACACCCTCTAAATTTTATTTATTTAAATTGAAAATCAAAGAGAAACTAGTAACAAATAAAATAATTGAAATAGAGAGTAATGTAGATGGCCTGCCACACTTGAAAGAAATCAAGTAACATTTAAAAGAATCTTTATATCTAGACGGTATAATAACATTTTAGTATTGCTTAGTTGGGTTATGATTGACTAATTTGTTTGAGTGGTATATGAATATTTTTAAAACCCAACAAAAGGTTGGGTTTGTATGAAACCCACTATTTTAAAAATGCTAATTTTATGTCTGTGTTTATTTAGATAACTTATTAACAAGATATAATATCTCCTGTGGATCCACTTGACTATTAGAGAATTAATGCTGAAAAGTATCCAATTTAGTCAAAACTTGCATGTAAATTTTTGGCGTCTCCTATAAAGTCCCATCTGAGTCTATCTTCAGTACGGCAGGAGATATAGATAGTCCACATACTAGAAGCTGATTGCCAAATAATCTAGAGGCTCTCATATAAAAAATCTAATATATTACATTTCATACCAACATATACACTACCAGCCATAAATTATTGCCCACCCTGCATTTTCTTAGCATTTTTCTTAAAATAAGATAAATAACACACAATATGAGGTTTATCAAATTTATTTATAAGTTTACATATTATTGTATAAAATTAGAAAAAATAAAAGATATAGCAATTAATTAAGATCAAATTTTGGTCTCATCAATATAACCACCTTTATTCTTAATAATTGCTGCACAAATTTTTGGTAATCTTTCGATTAGATTTTTTAAATATTCGGAAGTAATAATTGTTTAATTCTCTCTGTAATACTTCCCAAAGGTGCGAATGTGAGGTTAGAGGGCTTTTTCGCGCTTGTCGATCAAGGTGATCCATAAAAGTTCGATTGGATTGAAATCGGGACACTGGGATGGCCAAGTCATCAACTCGAGAATACCGTGTTGTAGATTTTGTAAATAATCTTTGCATAGCCTGGATGTATGCTTTGGGTCATTATCTTGTTGAAATAAAAAGTTATTCACAATGGTCCTCAAGGATTTGCCGGTATCCCACCTTGTTAAGGATTCCTTTAATTTTGACTCGCCGATTGCCCCGGCACCAAAGCACCCCCACACCATAACAGACCCTCCCCCGAATTTGACTGTAGATATTATGGAGTGATCGCTCATTCGCTCTCCAGCTGAGCCGCGGATATATTGCCTTCTTTTAGAACCGAAGATTTCGAATTTTGACTCATCACTTCATAAGACGTGGTACCAGTTGACAGATGTCCAAAATTGATGTTTTCGTGCCCAATCTAATCGCTTGAGTTTATTTTTTTTGCTCAATAATGGCCTTTTGACCGCTATCCTATCATAAAGTTCAAAGCTCCTAAGGCGCCTTTTCACAGTTGTGACACTTATCGGGTTTTCCAGAGTCAGATTAATTTCAGCAGCTATCTCTGAGGCGATAAGGCGTCGATTGCGTTTACTGATCCTTGCTATATATCTATCATCGCTTAAAGTCGTTTTGCGGGGTCTTCCAGGCCTCTTTAGATTCGATATTATATTATTGTTGCGTTAAGTATACAATCGACTGTTCGTCGAGCTAGGGTTAATTCTCTGGCAATTCGGCGATTACTTTTACCACTTATGTGTAAATTAATTATTTTGCATTTAGTTGGAATAGAAATTTCATTTTTTTAAATCATTTTGGTCGAATGTTCTTTAAAATTTATAAAGACTAAAAGTTTATTTAAACAATGATTTAAAACAACAAAAAAAATCTAGGAATTTTTTTTTAAAATAATTAAAAATGGGTATTAATAAGCAGATTAGAATGTGATTAGATTAATGACTTTCTTCCAAAAAACAATGGGCAACTTAAAATTGTTGCTGAAAAAAACTAATGAACCCTATTTTACCAAATTGGTCATTTTTGACATGTTGTTTCAAAGGCTAAAATTTCATAGAAAAATTTATAGAAATTCCGAGTTTTTTATTTCTAAGTATGTCTAGACATCTTAAATTAATTAATCAATTCGCTTTTACCCAAATAAGTTAAGTTTTAAGTTATTAATTTTTTTATGTAAAAATGCAGGGTGGGCAGTCATTTAGGGCCGGTAGTGTATATATTATTCAAAATAAAATGGATACATTATTAATATATATATTTTATTATCTATTATAATATTTTTTTCTAAATTATAGTCAAAAAATATTAAAATTAAATTAAATGCATAATTAGATTTTTTGCATAGAAAATATGGATTTTTTATTTACATTTGGATCAAAGGAAGGTGGTAAAAAATCAATATAAATATCGAGTCTGTATCAGATCGGTTTTGAACCAATATCGAAAATATCGAAACAGATAGGTGAAAAATATGTATATCGGTACAGCCCTATATATAATGGAACGTTTTATTTATTCAATACTTTTATTTTCAAATTCTCTATAATACGCTTATAATATAAATTTTATTATTTGTATGATTTGATATATATTTTAAATTCAATTATTTTTTAAATACGCTTATAAAATAAATTTTAATTTATTTTTTAATAAAAGATTTATATTCGTTCTAAATTACTAAATGAAATTGATAATCATTTTAATATTTAAAGAGGGAACCATGGCCATGCTAAAAAATTCTTTTATGAAACCCATCCAAGGCTGATTTATATGATATAAATTTTGAAAATTGTTTAACCTTAAAACAAAATTTTATTATCTTACTTTGTTAATTCTTTTTTTACTTTATTATGTGTAAAAACATTAAAATAAATTCTTTTTTTCTTAAATTTTGTATATGTAAATAGTTATAATATAAAAAATATATATATAGGATAGAAATTTGTCAAATTAAGAGACATATATTTGTTAATAAATTAAATAAAAAAAATATAAATTAAATTTTTTGATCTCTGCCTTCCTTATAATTTTCATACTCTTTCTAAATTACATGAAATACTTTCCACCATCTTGAAAAAACCCATTCACCAATGTCTAACAGAAAAAAAGATATCATTTATACCCATGAAAGAAATGTTATATAAATACAAACCATTTTTATCATTAATCAAATAAAATAGTAATATAAAAAAATAAAATAATAGGTATGTATATCAAACTCATTAATAATTCCTATTCCGAAATATAGTAAATAACGAATCACAAATTTTGATAGTCTCAAACATGTTGAACAATAAACGAGGATGACAAAAACAACAAACAAGCCAATTACAAATATTTATATATTATTTTAAATAGTAACCTTAATAATATACCTAAAAATGTTCCAATTATATTCAAATATATATTGCATTGCATTATAAATAAACTAATCACAATTTTAATAAACTCACTACTAAGTAATGTTAAAACCCCGATTTGGGTCGATTTTTCAAAAGGGCTCGATTAAGATTTTAGCTAAAATAATATTATGTAAGCATCGAGATTTGGCAAATAGATATCCAAGCATTTCTGCCAGCTACGTGCAAAATCTTTAGGCTTACATAATGTTATTTTGGTTATAATATTAATCAGGCCGTTTTTAAAATCGACCCCAATCGGGCTTTTTAACAACCCTACTCACTACCTTATCAAATATATTTATTCTATAAAGCTATATGCTAACGAGTCTTGCTCTTTATGCAACAGTGAGAGCTGTAACGGAACGCAGCAGAGCTCGAGAGTTTTTATTTATATTATACATATATAGATAAAAAATTTATGTATATAATATTTAATTTTTAAGTAATGACGCGCGTTCCTTTTTCCACGGTAACGGTAACGCGTTCCTTTTTTCAGATGTAACGAGTTTGTTTTTTAAAGTAGCATTTACAGCACTACTTGTTACTCATTTTGATGGTTCTATTATTTTTATTATATTATTTTATTTAAACCTTCTTTAAATCTTTCACCTTCGGCCAATGTTTTTTTGACCCTTTCAGATCCAGCTAAATCCACAAAGTGTATCTTGCTCTTGGTTAAGGTAACATCACTTGTTTATTTTTATTTAAAATAAAAAAATTAATTAGTTAAAATTTCTTTAATTTTAGATTATTTCTTATAAATAACATACAATAAATTAATCTTAGGGTTAAATAATTTTCGGACCTGGTTGGGAATACGAGGGTGGGAATTTGTTATTTTTTAGGGTTGGGTCCATTTTTTTCTATGGATGATAATAATTCTAATGCTTATTATGTGTATGACTGTTTTCAATATTTTTAGTAAAATTGTATCCCAAATATACATAAATAAAACCATTCTAAAATACTTTTTTAAAAAAATACCAATAAATTTAATAATGTATTAAGCAAGGTTGCCAGGTGTCCAGTTTTACCTGTAATTCTTACGATTTCATACCTATTTTCTTATAAATAATTATCACGTTTTTTGAGCAAATTAAAACAAATTTTTTAAAGACAAATATAAAAATTATAAATTATTTTATTTATAAATATTTAAAAAAATTATATTTGTTGGTAGTCCAACCACCCAATCATATACAATATTTAATTTAAATTAAACCCAAACTAATAAAAATGTATAAACAGGTATTATTAGAGTTGCTTTAACCAAACAACCAGGATTCAAATTCGATTTCTAAGAAAGTTTATCAAGCAAAATTAATTTAAATAACTATATATTTCTAATAGGATACAAATCTCAACATTCAAACTCGTAAAATTTTGAATGAAAGAAATTCATTGTATATACACACTGAGATTATAATTAGTCCAAACATAACATGTAGACAGATATTGCTAAAGTTTGTTAACAATCAGATTTAAAAATATCATTGAAAAATTTATCAGATAAAAAATTTATAAAGCTCAGTAAATTCAAATAAAATAATTATATATAAATTTTTTCAGTTTCTTCATGTTATAATTTATAAGTCTAAACATATAAAACATTTATTACTAAGCTGATTACTTAGATTCAGGATCATTTTTATAAAATAATTAAATAAAATATTTTATAATAAAGGCAATATATATTCAATAGATAAGATTATACATCTAAACATATGTTATATGCTCTGTATCTTTTAAAAACCTCATTTTATCTAAAAAATATAATATCCAATTTTTTTTAACTTGTTACAGAATGAATTTGCAAATTCATTATATATCGAAAGCTAATCCTCAAATTATAATTTTCAAAATGAAAAATTGAAACATAAGCAAATAAAAAAGAGGGAAATATATCCTGTAAGTTATAATGAAAGTTGGGAACAAAAATATAAATGGTTAAAGCAGTATGCAGGATCGACTGTAAAATGTAGTATATGTGGATCATGCTTTTCAATAATCCATAGTAGAGAGTATGATATAATCAAATATATGAAATCTAACTAACATACATAGGCAAATAAACAATCTGGAACCAATATTTATATATCGTCATACATAACAAAATATTCTAAAAATGAAACCTTATCTGTTATTGCTGAAACAACATTTATATATCATTTCATAAACGTTCCCATAGCAGTGTGTTGGCTGATTGTTCGAGCAAGCTAATTTACTCACTTTTTTCACGACTCTAAAACTGCATCGATATTTCATGTGTCAGAGGGCTCTAAAATAATACCAAATATATTGGCACCAAAGACAAGGTCAAATATATTAAAAGATCTAAAAAACAATAGCCCGTTTTTAATATTAACGGATGCATCGAATAAAGGTAATATAAAAACATTGCCCTTACTTAGGTACTTCAACATAAATAATAGAAGTTAAATTACTTAAATTTTCTTTATCTAATAGTGAAACTTCTAGAGATATATCCCGATGCTTTTAAGAATTTTTGGACTTGATATTACTCATGTTACAGCATATTGTACCAATAACGTGTCTGAAAACTTTGGGGAAAATCAAAGTATTTGGAAGGAATTGAAAAGCCATAATAATATTATACCAAGAGTTTGCATATGCCAAATACTTCATAATGTTTGTAAAAATATAATTTATCTCAAATATGATATCAGAACAGAGAGTATAGTAATCAAATGCTATAATCAATTTAACAATTCAACAAAAAGGGTTACAATTTTAAAAGAAATGGTAGAATGGCATTTAGAATTTAGAGAATTACTTGGCCATGTTCCAAAACACTGGCTTACTTTAATCCCAGCAGTTGAGCGGATGATTAACTAACCTCTTAAAGAATATTTTTTTATCGTAATCAGCAACCATTAACATTATTTTTCGATGATTTTACAATAGCATATTTGGGCATTGTCCTTAACGTTGGCACTTTAATAAATAACATAAATTTACAACTACAAGCTGAAGATGTCTTAGCTATATATATACACGATCTTATCAAAAAACTTAAAATTCTTTAAATTTAATAATTTAACAAAATTTTTATAGGATAATGAAGAAAAGTTCAAAAATGAATCAAAGATGTTTGTAAAAAATATTATAGAATATACTGAAAAACGCTTAGGATAATATAGGGAAATATCTTAGCCCTATGACATTAAAACCAGAATTCAATGAATTTCTAAAATATTCTTAATTTCGCTTTTGCCGGCCTTAGTCCGGGTTTATCGATATAGCATATTCATCTTACTTAATATGTTATACTTAATGCATCAAGATTTTTAAGACAATATCAAAATTAATATTAATTTATTTACTATTAACGATTATAATGATGTATTATTTTCCCATGTTTAACATTTTAAGGATGATTTTAAAATAGGAAATAAAGATTTTCCATCAGCGCTATGGAGCAGTCATTAGGCTAAATATTCTCATAGATGACGCATTTGAATGTGGAATGGGAACTAAAATATCTTATATTTTCCCGATTAACGGAGATATTATTTGTAGGAAATCCACCCATTTTTCCTGCGCATTCATGTGATTTATTTTGGATAATTTATCTTCACAATAAATATTAAAATGTGATAATTCCCCAAGGAGAATATCTGAATCAATATTTGGTATTTAATAATTAACAATAATTTTTTGAAATTCTTCAAATGCTGGGTCTTTTTCTAATGGTATAGGGCTAAGATATCTCTTTATATTATATATAATATAATATCATAGTGTTTTTCACTATTTTCTACAGACATCTTTGACTCATTTATGAAATTCAATGCCTTTCCTTCATCATTATCATGTTGTAAAATGTTTTTAGAAATGCCCCATAAAAATTTTACTCAATTTTTAATTTAAAGAATTCAATTTAATTTTTTGGGGGAATTACGAATCATTCTAATAATGTTTCTTAGATTTAGAATTGAAGGATCTAAAAATTTTAAAATTTCTTTGGATACTAAATTAATTACATGGGCAAAGCATCGGAAGTGCCCTATTTTTATTAATGGATATTTTAAAGAAAATGTATCAATAAATGTTTTATTATTAGTTGCATTATATCAAGTTATATAAAAAATTTTATTCTCTAAATTATAATTTTTAATTATTTTGACAAAGGCTTTAAATATATTTTCACCTGAATGTGTTTCATTTATTGGACTGACATCCAAAATTATGTTATTTATTTTAAAATTATCATCAATAAAATGGGCTGTTAGCCCTAAAAAAGAAACCTATGTTGGGTTAGTCCAAATGTCAGATGAAAAATTAATCTGACTTTTATTTTTAGATATTATTTCCTGTACCAACTGTTCTTTTTCTGCAAATGTATTATACATGTGCAATTTAAGAGTATTGGAGCATATTGATTTTACAGAACAATCAAGATCAATTATAAAATTTTTAAAATCATTTGAATTAATAATTTTAAAAGATATATTATTATTTATAAATAATTTTAATAAATTATCCTTAAAATTAATTTTTTTTTGAAGAATTTGGTGTTGATTTTAAAAAAAATGTCAATTTTATTATTTTTTTTACTAAGGTGTGAATGAAACCTATATAATGATTAATAAGAGATGTTGTTTTGCCTTTACATTTTATAATACTCTTGCAATGATTGCAAGCAGCCTTTTCACCATCTTTAAGGATTTGATATTGATCCCATAAGATTGCTCTCTTTTGTGAGGAAATTTTCTTATCTTCAACATCAAGCATAATTTCATCAGAAGAATTCTCCTCTAACATAATTAGGCTAGCTAACAATAATTATTGTAGAGATGTAATATATTTTTATATACCTCTGGTGTGTGTAATTTTTAATATAATTTATTATGAGATTCAAAAAATAAACTTTTCGTGAGATTCAAAAAATGTGGCAAATAAAAATTTTTTAAATTTGTTTTTATAAACACAAAAACATCACCTGTCAGATTGGCTGGTCAACAAATAGAAATGACAAATGTTAGATTTATTAAACAATTTATTAAATATTACGAATAATTCGTTTTATTCGAATAATCCGTTTTACTGGAATAATCCGTTTTATTCTAATCGAATAAATGATTATTCGTATTCAGATAAAACAAATAATTTATTATTCGTATTCGTAATTATTCGATTAGATTCGAATCGAATATTCAAATTATTTTTGAATAGGCCTAGTTGCTGCAAACGATAAAAAATATTCTTTAAATAGTTGGTAATATTTAAGCATTCCCTCAACAGCTGGGATTAATGTAAACCAGCTTGTTGGAATGTAGCAAAGTAATTCTGAACATTCTAAATTGCTTCATTCTATTAAAAATTTAACCACTTTTGTTGAATTGCTAAATTGATTATTGCTTATTACTTACTTACTCTCGATATCATATTAGATATATTATGGTTTTTATATGCACATCAGTTCGAACCAAACCGAACCGGCAACCGGAATGAACCGTTACCTTAACCGAACCGTTATAAAGAAAATATAAAAAGAGCAAACCGAACTGTTAAATATTTTAAACCGGTTTGAAATGGTTTTAAAATATAATTTGAAATTATTAACCTAAATATGAAATTTAAATTATCCTTGGGAGCTATTTTTAAATTCGTGATTTCTTTTCAAATTAAAATTTTTTTATATTATCTACATATCAATCAATACCAAGTTTATCGTTTTTACTTTAAATACTTAATTTAATAGAGATTAGGCAAATTATCAGTTAATAAGATAAGATTTCTGTCCAAATTAAATTTGAAAAAAACTAATAGATTTTGCGCAAGAAAAACTTTTGCCAAGAAATATCATGATCGTGAAAAATGTTTATAAGAGAATGAATGGAAATTAATAGCGATATATTAAAAGCTTATCCAGCTTATATTTTGACAAACTATATACAAAGTGAACAATTGACAATGGCCGATATTTATGCCACGTAGATCAGATGTATCATGCAAACGAGCAAAGTAGACATTCCATTTGCCGGAATTTTAGTTTATACGATAAAATAATGAGAAATAAATTTGAAAAATGACGTTTTTTGCTCAGGTGTTTATTTCGGCCCAAGATATAATGTATTTTTAACATATGAAGAAAAAGAAATCGCCAAAAAACATCTTTCTAAAACTTGGAACTTAATACAAAATTTAAATAATCAGAATATTGAAATTCTAGATACTATGCCTACGTGTTATTCGAAAGATAATTTAAATGATAATTTTGAGGATTTATTAAAATCGCATGAAAACCTTAATAAGAAAAATTCTCAGGGCATATAAAATTATAATAAATGTAGAGAAATTCGGTCATTTGATAATATAAAGAGATTAAAAAATTATTTATCTTTTGAATTATTGGGAAAATGTAAAGAATAGTATGCCAAAACTTTATAAATTAGCTATAAGTGTGCTAGCAGTTCCAGCTAAGCAGGTATCCGTAAAAGTATTTTCTAGCCTTAAGTTTATACTCTCTGTGCAGAGAACTAAATTAAATCCTGAAATATTAGAAAATATTTTAGTTATCCGTCCTAATTCTTTTTTTATTATTCCTCATTGTACATGTTTGTTTCTATCTAATCTATTTATAAAATTAAAAAAAAATAATTTGTCTAATTTATATTTACTGTTTAATAAAAATATATATTAGATTATCATGGTTAAATTAAATAAAAAATTATAAAAATATAAATTAATGATTAATTTTTTTTAAAAATCAAATTTATAAAAATCGGAACAAACCGAAAAGAACCTTATAAATTATAAACCGCACCGATATGAATTTTTTCAAAAAAAACCGAAATGGAACAATACCTTTATAAAATTTTAAACTAAAAACCGAAACGAACCGAGCCACTACACTTAACAGTTCGAAATCCTGAGTGTCATATACAGCCTATTGGAATAATATTATTATGGCTTTTCGATTCCGTCTAAATACTTTGATTTTCCCTGAGGTTTACAGATGCGTTCGGCACAATATGTCATCAATTCGAGCTATTCTTAAATTTTCTAGCAAGCATCGAGATATATCTTTAAAATTTCACTATAAGATGAAGAAAACAAAACATAAGCTGATCCGAACATAAAACCTGATCAGACCCCAAGCATAAACCCAGGGTATGAACTTAGAAATTAATAAAAATAGACTCGCCTACCCAGTTTATTTGGCAAAAACCCTGTTTTTTCACTAAAAATTTATTTATTCGCCAAACCCCGTTTTCAGCAAAAAAATGTTTTTCCTATAAAAACCCTGTTTAGCAGGGTAAAAACCTCCTTTTGAGTAAAGAAGCCCGGTATTTGGGTAAAGCCCCCTTTTTGGTTAAAATCCATTTTCTGGGTAAAAACCCTTTTTTAGTAAAAATTAATCTCGTTTATTTGGATATGGAATCCATGGAGATTTGAAATCTTTCGATTTTAAATCGTTTAAGGAGAATAATTATCCAATATGGGTAATATATTTACGCAAGTTAGAAGTAATTATCCTACAAATTTCAGACAATTTTCGTCATAACCCTTTATTTATATCTAATTTTATGAAAAATTATCTTATAAATTAAAATATATTCCCTTATTGTATTGATTAGCTTATACTAAAACTCATCGTAATTTGAATAATTAATTAAACTATTAGAATATATCATAGGTTTCACCCAAAAAGAAAATAGAATTGTATTTTTTTTAAAACTAATTCAAAAAGTCTTACAATTTTTAGCTAAAAACTTATTTCATAAAAAAAAATTATGGATCATAATAAAACAATTTTCATTTACATTAAAAATTATATTAAAAATAACTTTTAAACTATTTATAAAATAATATATGTTAAAATTAAATTAAAAGGCTATATAAAAAGGGATAAGTAAAAAAAAATTCTATAAAAACAATAAATGTTTTATTAATAATTCTTACAAGTAAACAATTTTATCTGGAGGAGCATTAAAATGGTCAATGTGTCTCAAAATATCATCACAATACAGTATCTTCAATAAGGTCTCATTTATGGTAAATGCATTATGTTCAAATCTTGCATTATTTTCAACACTATCATAATCACATCTGATTCTTCATAGCGTTAATAAATTTTGAAATATAAGTCACAATATGTTTTTCAAATTTTATATATTAATAAAGTATGCATATTTATTGACTTGGTTTTGTAAATAAGTGTTAAATAACACAATGCTTGAATATAACGTGTTTATTATAAATGAGACCCAACAGAGCAAATGATATTAATCAATAATGCTCAATATTTTATATATAAATAATCTTTTTTATGTTGTAAATATTTTGTTTATTAATTTCTTATTAAACCTTAACAAAAGAATTTTTTAAAATAAATGTGATAATATTTTTCTAAAAACTGGTCAAGAATCTGCTATTACTGACATGATCCAAATAGGGAAAACAGGCCATGTTCACTGGATAATGTATCTAATATATATCCAACTTTAAATGTTATCAAACAATAAATTTAAATAGCTTTTTATTGTATTAAAATATTATTAATATATTATGTTATCATATTTAAGACATATTTTTGCACTAGAGTTTGTAGATATCATTTGTCTTGTAAATTATTGAAAATATTAGAAAATTTTTACAAAAATCTTAATACCTAGTGATTAAGAAAATGAGTTTTCAATTTATTTACTGGTCATAAGATATTTATAATAAGAATTGCCATTTTTGTTATCCCCTCATTTAAATTACTTAATTGGAAATATCAAATAATATTCAAATGGATTTAGTTTTTAATTAATAATTCATTTTATTTATTTATGGAGAAGAATAAATTTCTTGCACTTGTAACCCTTAATATCTTAGGTAGGAGCTAATGAAATCATAAAATTTCATTTCTGTTCAACTTATATAACATTTATAATCTTCATTAGTTTTATAAGAATTGAAAGGGTTGGCCAAAAATGTCTTCTTCTATCTATATTTCAATTAAATGTCTATATAAATGTTAACTTTTATAAATGGTTATACAAGATAAATTAAAAAATATTTTAAATTATCATAGAGATAAAATGTAGGACTTAACATCTCTCCTATAAATATAAAATATAGAATTGCCTGTCCAGTTTAAAATGTTATACCCTAAAAAAAGATAATCCAATTTTAAAAAAGAAGCCTAATAATGGTCTGCCAGATATCATAAAAAATAATGTGTCATGAATTAAATATTAAAAAAATATAAACATGAGGCAATAATTAATTTTTAAAAAAAATTGAAATAAAATAAAATTTAGGTAAAGAAAAAATTTAAACCAAATATTAAAATATTTTATTTGATATTTAAGAAATATAATATTTTAGGAAAAAATATCTAACTCTGAAAATTTTTCAATGGTAATTGTAAATATTGCATGTGAACGACTTGAGGTCAAATTCATAGCAGTACTAGCAGTACTTCGAATAGCAGATCCCATTTCAAGAAATGAAAGAGCTTCTAGGAAATTGCTGACAGGTATTTCTTTGAGTCCAATTAACTTAAAATACATTGTTATATGAAAATCAAAGATAATTATAAACCACTTATTGCTAAATAAATAAAATTATAATAAAATATATTTAATTTATTTTGTTTAGAAATTTAATAATTTATATTATTAATACCCTTATTCCATAATTAGGATCTTCTCTAATAACTACTGTTTCTTTGTCACGATCTTTTGGGTTTATGTGATAAGAATTTAGCAAATCAATTATTTCTTCTTTATATATCTCTAGAAATGAAACACTTATGCGAAAATCTATATTCACACAGTTTGATACATTTTCTATTACATCAGACTTTAGATTTTTAATATATTTAAATACATCATTAATTGCTTTAGGAATTAGTCCAATATCATAAGAAGTATCTATATCTCCATGTGGTATTGAAAAACAATCTGTCCCCATGGTGTGTGTTTTGCCCGACCCAGTTTGGCCATATGCAAGGATTGTTAGATTATATCCTAAATTAATATATAATTAACAAAAATTAACTTCTAAAACCTTCAAATGCTTTTTTTAAAAGTGGATATAAAATAGAAGTGTAGATAGCACTTTGTGTAGATTTTTGCCCAAATACATAGTCAAATGTGAATGATTTTACACCTATGACGACCTTTTATAATATTAAAATTTTGAATTATATATTTATAATATAAACTTGCGATAAACTTTGATTGATTTCAACACATTCTTCGTGTCCTGATTCAATTTCTTTATTAATCAAAGGACGACACCTGAGAACTACCTTCACAGGTATAATTTTTTTATCATTCATAAGATTTTTTAAATTTGCGGTTAAATTTAGAAATATAAAATTCACTTAGGAAAATAAGTTCCGAGGATGTATAAATTATTTATTTATTTAATTTTATAGTCGTTTACACTAACATTTAAGTTAATTAAAGATTATATTTAGTATTAAGTTGGACCGATTTTAATTAACTGACAATTTTATTATAAACATTTCTCGTCTCAACTATATTTAAAAATAAAAATTATTAAATATTTGAAGTATTATATATCTAAAAATATTATCCGTTAAAAATTCACACAATAAAGTAAAACTTGTCAAATTTGGGCTCTTGCTCCCTAATTTGATTATAATTTGAGTCCCAATCAAATTCCTATTAACTATGTAAATAAAAACAGATTCTTTATTTTTATTAAATGACAATATATATATATATGTTTTTACGTTTTAACCAAAGATAGTTTTATTTTTAAATTTAAATTTTATTTCCAAAAAATTATTAATTATATATATATATATATTTAATTGCTAAATTTTATCAAATATTGTTTTTTTACCTTAATGAAGGGTTTACAAAAAATCAATCCCTTTCTACTTTTCTTTCAACTTTTTATTTTGCCCAAAACATCTTGCCAAGAAAAATAATCAAAAAATCTGAGAAAAAGCAACTGTCTATTTTATTTCGTTTATATATATATATATATCTACTATAAAATAAATATAAATTGATTAATAATATAATTAATCTAAAAATAGCAATTTTAAATATAAAAATAATATTCATCACAAAAAGAATGACTTCGCAATTTAACATAAAAAAATGACAACATAAAAAGAATGACTCCACAATTTTACATAAAAAGAATGATTCCACAATTTAACATAGAAAGAATTGTCATAATTGGGAGACAGATTTGTAAAATTTGATTTGGTAAAGTCAGTATGTATTGCGTTTGATGAGTCATTTTTATTTTTATAATTTTATGTTTTAGTTAAATTGGTGAGTCATTGTTATTTTTATAATTTTATGTTTTAGTTTAATCGCGTTAACATTGTATTTTTAGATTTATAAAAGTGAATTATTGTAAAGTCATTATGATGATGGGATTTAATTATTTATTTGTGATGATTATTGCTTCCCTATAAAAGGGAAGCGAAAATTGTAAATAATCAATTCATTTTTTTTTAATTAATTTTTTTATAACTATTTTTATTTTTGTTTTCAATTATTATTATTTTTTTTTACAAATAATTTTTATTCTAAAATTATAATCGGTTTTTAACGTCTTATATTTTTATTTATAAACTATACGAAATATTCTAATAAAGGAAGTATAAAACCGCCTATATATATATAATAAAGCAATTCATTAATATAATTAAATAATAATGGTTACCGTGACCAGAGCGAACTGATTGCTAGAACCTGGTCGTTAGGGACACTAAAAAAAAAGAGGGGGGGGGGGCTGTAAAAAAAATCTGTGTGGATTAGTGAAATATAAAAAAAAAAAAAGCTCAGTGGTATATAAAATATTTGTGGCTTAGTGATCTTTGTGGCTTAGTGATCTTTGTGGCTTAGTGGTCTTTGTGGCTTAATTATCTTTGTGGCTTAGTGGTCTTTGTGGCTTAGTGATCTTTGTGGCTTAGTGGTCTTTGTGGATTAGTGGTATAAAAAAAAGGGGGCTCAGTGGTATATAAAAGAATCGGATTAGTGGTATAAAAAAAGGGGGCTCAGTGATATATAAAAGAATCTTTGTGGCATAGTGATACTAAAAAGGTAGAGTACACGGAAGTGGTGTCCAAATTTTTGCCTATATAAATCTATTAGAAGAAAATCCGAAAAAGTTTATTAGAAGGCAAGTTACACAGAAGTGCTGCTGATTTTTTTCAAAAAACGTCAATGCCGATTTTTTTCAAAAGACGTGGATACACGGAAGAGTTTAAAAATTCGCGGAATTTTTTTTTGAAATTGATAAATGTATATGTGTATTATTGGAGTTTTTACCTTATTGATTTTATCTTATTGTCTGACGTTACAAGTAGTTAAGATATTTTTGTTGAAATTAATTATTAATTTTTTGTGAATATTTTATAAAATATTGTATTGCTAGATTGAGTTACTTGGGAAATAGTTTAGGAAAAATTTAAATACGTAAATATTTAATGAAGAGTTTTAAAATTACGAAGTATGTGGAGTTGCAATATAATGTACTGGGAGAGGTGGTAGTGTTGATGATATGGTTGTGTAGTTTATATTTTGGAAGGAGAATGCGAAGAGAGATAAGTATTAGGATTCGTGGGCAATCGTTGTTGGTAGAAGGGCATAATGGAGAGGATGATAGATTGGGGTGGTTACCGGTTCAAGAAATAATGAAGTGGGTCAATAATGAAGAAATTGACCGGTTAAAGAACGAGAGGATAGATGACAGACATTTGGACGTTTACCGTGGACGTCAGGACATGCCGAGGCCGTTCAGCAGTGGGGGACAGAGAGGTCGGAATGGTAGATGTTACAAATGTGAGGAGATGGGTCATATTGCGGTGAATTGTAGAGATGTCAAATGTTTTGCGTGTGGGGAGATGGGACATATTTCGACATTTTGTCCGGGCAGAGCAGAGAGAATACGTTGCGCGGGTTGTGGAAGATTTGGACATGTGTTAAAAGATTGCCGAGTGGGAAAGGTAGAAACAAGGGCAGGTTTTCCACAGAGAGGAGAGACTTCGGGGGCCGTGAATATGAGGAGTATGACGGAGATAGCTGGAAAAGGAGGAAAGGATATTGAAGAGGAGATGACCTGTTTCAAGTGCCGAGAAAGGGGACATTGGGCCAGAAATTGTGATAGAGATTGACTATATGATGGGAAAGAGAGTAAAATGATGACCGTGGCGTTAAGAGGAGGCAAGAAAGAGTTGAGAGTTAAAATGTTGCAGCAGGAGGTTCAAAGGGAGTTATCGTATCTGCCGAGTCCGAGGGTATGGTTCAATATCAACGGGAAGATGGTATCTATGTTATTTGATACCATAGCAGCTATTTCGGTGATAGGATATGAGGATTTTAGAAGACTTTGGCCGGGTAGTAAAATAATTAGAGACGTTATGCAAGTGAGGCAGTTTGATGGATCGGAGATGGAGATGATGGGAAGAGTGCATATTGGGGATGTAGGGAGATAAGGGTGTAAAATGTTGGACTTATGGATAATTAACCAAGACGTTGAGCCGGTGATGGGATGGGATTGGATTACAAGTGTGGGCCGGAGTATGGATTTTGGGGAGTATTTGCGCGATGGGGAGTATTTGTGGCGATCGAAGAAGATATTTGGGAAGACTTGATAAATATGGTCCGAGAGGAGGAGGAGGAGAGAATGTACGGAGGAAATTTGGAATGGATGGAGGGCCGAGATAATATTGAAGTAGACGAGGGAAGATCCGTGTTTTGGGGGGAAAGCGAAGGAAATAGGAGGGAATATATGTTGAGGAGAGGTCCGATTATGTAGATGGAGAAATAGCAAATATCCAAGACAGTAGATATGGAGTATTGAGGCCGCTGGTTAGTGAGAGGAGTGAGAATTTTGTAGAACAGGGAGTTGTGGAAAATTCGTGGGAGTAAAAGATGTCCAAAAGGAGGTGGAGAAGTTAGTGGAGAGGTATGGAGAAATCTTTGGGGAAGAGTTGGGTTGCCTAAAGGATTATGAAGTGGAGATTCGGATGAAGGATGGATGCGTACCAAAATTTTGTGCTGTTCGTAGAGTACCTTTTGAATGGAGGCAGGAGGTAGGGAAGGAGTTGGATCGTTGGGTAAAGGAGGGTAACGTGAGTCCGGTTGAATACAGCGAATGGGCGACGCCTTTGGTACACGTAAAGAAGGCCAATGTGAGTGTGAGGTTATATGCGGATTTCCGGGTAACGTTGAATCCATGTGTGGTGGAGGTGAAGTATCCGTTACCCAGGATAGAGGAGATATTGGCCAGTTTAAAAGGAAGCAGATATTTTTCGAAAGTGGATTTTTCGAACGCGTATTTGCAATTACGGGTAAAAAATGAGAGGCAGGGGTTGTTGACTATAACAACGCCAAAGGGGCTTATTTGCTGTTAGAAGGTTGCCGTTTGGGTTGAGCGTATCGGCACCTATGTTTCAACGGACGAGGGCGATAGTTTTTCAGAAATTGGGGAGTGTTTTATTATACCATGATGTAAAAATAACAGGGGTTACTCTAGAGCAGAACCATCAAAGGTTAGAGGTGGATGAGTATTTGCAGCGTATTATTAGAGTGGTGGAGTCTTTTCAGCTTGTGTGCAAAAGTAGGAGTCCGAAATTTTTTTTTAGTAATGAAATAAATTAAAAGGATTTTAGGTTGTAGTTACTCTTAGAAGAAGAAGATGGAGGAATAATAATTATGGACATATGTTCGAATAATCGATGGTCAAAGGTGTCCACTTACAACAATAATAGAAGAATTCCTAGGGGTGATCAAAGGGATTGGGGTCTCAAGGATTGGTTATAGGGGGGAGGTGTCATAATTGGGAGAGTGATTTGTAAAATTTGATTTTTGGTAAAGTTAGTATGTATTGCGTTTGATGAGTCATTTATATTTTTATAATTTTATGTTTTAGTTAAATTGGTGAGTCATTGTTATTTTTATAATTTTACGTTTTAGTTTAATCGCGTTAACATTTTATTTTTAGATTTATAAAAGTGAATTATTGTAAAGTCATTATTATGATGGGATTTAATTATTTATTTGTGATGATTATTGCTTCCCTATAAAAGGGAAGCGAAAATTGTAAATAATCAATTCATTTTTTTTGAATTCATTTTTTTTTAAATTAATTTTTTTATAACTATTTTTATTTTTGTTTTCAATTATTATTATTTTTTTTACAAATAATTTTTATTTTAAAATTATAATCGGTTTTTAACGTCTTATATTTTTATTTATAAACTATATGAAATATTCTAATAAAGGAAGTATAAAACCGCCTATATATATATAATAAAGCAATACATTAATATAGTTAAATAATAAGAATGACTCCACAATTTTACATAAAAAGAATGACTCCAATAACACATGTATCTTATTAAAAATACACACTTGGATTTTTTGCTAAATAAGATTATTTTTAAAACACTAAAAAATATAGGATATAATACGAATAATATATAATTATTAAATTATGTCATTTATATAAATATAATTGAAAACCAAAAGAGTAATCATTATCAGCATCTATATGACAGGATATTCACTAAATGCAAACCCCTCCTAAAACCTATTTATACATTTTAGAAAACCAAATTAATTGAACAGTTTATATTTATATTAATACATTTCAGTTCTCCCCACTACAAATTGAATTCATCATGTGTTTAGTAGTTTTAATTGTTTTTTTTATTCTCCTTTAAACTACTTGTTTTGTTTTGATAATAACAAAACAATTTAAATTGTATTTCTTTTTTCGGACTACACTAATACTAATTGTGAATGACATTATATTAGTTACAAATTTCATTATAAAAAGATTAAATTTGATTATTATATCTTTAGTGAAAAATAAATTTTATTCTTTATTAAAATTAATTTGATGTTTATCTTCCTCTGAATATTATTTCCAATCTTCTGAAAACAACATGGTGGCAGTCCGCTATATACTCAATGAAATCATAAATTAATAAATAAATATGAAACAGGTTCCCTATAAATGTTAATATAAATATTGAATTTCCGATATACTCAGGCAATACGATTTTTTTTAAGTAGATTCGAAGACATATTCAAGGATACTCAGATATCAGACATCGAAAAATCTGGATTCTTCACAAAGACTACAACACGAATATATCAAACTCAAATCGTTATGTTCATCTACCGACTTCATCAATCCATCGATATTGATTGAAAAATTTAGGTTATTACACCCGAGGAAATCTACAAGTTAGAACTTATTATTATTTAATGCAGCTTTACAAAGTAAAAATGAAAGTTACATCAATTGGGTAAGTAGATTATGCATTTTATATGCATTTTAAAAATATGTGTTTGCTAGATGATAGTAGAGTTATTAAAAAATTAAAATTTCGTCAATCAGCAAAAATATTGGGCAGAAAATTACGTTAAAAGAAAATATTAGCAGTTTCTTACTTTAAGAATTTGAGTTAGAATTAAAAGAAAATATAATTGCTAAAGTTGAAATTATTTCTTTAAACGAAAAAACAAAGATATAACAACCGTGAAACATTTAGAAAGGCAAAGAGGTAGGAAAACAGAAGAAAACAAGCAAGTGGTGAGATATGGAGACCACCACGAGACAAAATTTACAATCTAATTACGATAACAGACAACGATGGACAACAAGAGGCCATGACTTTCAAAGTAATAATTATCAAGGAAATAATTACAACCCTAGATATCAGAACTATAATGCTAGTTATTACAACAACGTCAGGGCAAACTACCCAGGATCGTACAATAATTTTTCAAGATTTGATAATAGAACTAGTAATAATAACAATAACTATAATAACCATAGATTTAACAATGATTATAATTACAGATATAACAAACATGATAACGATTCAAGATTTATTCAAAGACATAACAATAATCATATTATTGGAAATCAAGGAAGAAATCAAGTATGCAATTGTAGATATCGTAACAATGATAATAATCAATCATGATCAGGGTTGCCAGGTCGAAATTTTCAAATTGCGGGAGAAATTTGTTATTATGTGGGAGAAATATGAAAATTGCGGTAGAAGTATAAAAAGTGCTAAAATAAAATTTTTTGCGGGCCTTGAATTGACCTAATTATCTGCCTATTATTTTCTATAATTAGTTTATATAAATACAAAGTCGGCAACTATTTTTCAAAATAAAATAACATCTTGATTTATTAAAAAAACCAACGATCTTTAATATATAAGAATGGAAAGAAGATAAAATTTTATTTAAAAAAAACGATTTTAGTTTTACAATTAAAAATATATTTTATGTGAATGTCCCGAAAAACGGCTGCTTGGATCTCTTTTCCTACTAGGAACTCCATTAATAAAATTTTTATCGTAGAGATTTATACTTATTATTCCTATAAATATCAGATTTACTCATATTTTAATTTTTTTTAGATTTCTAATGATTAATGGGAATATGTTAATCTCTTTTCCTACTAGGAACTCCATTAATAAAATTTTTATCGTTGAGATAAATACTTATTATTCCTATAAATATCAGATTTACTCATATTTTAATTTTTTTTTAGATTTCTAATGATTAATGGGAATATGTTAATCTCTTTTCCTACTAGGAACTCCATTAATAAAATTTTTATCGTAGAGATTTATACTTATTATTCCTATAAATATCAGATTTACTCATATTTTAATTTTTTTTTAGATTTCTAATGATTAATGGGAATATGTTAATCTCTTTTCCTACTAGGAACTCCATTAATAAAATTTTTATCGTTGAGATAAATACTTATTATTCCTATAAATATCAGATTTACTCATATTTTAATTTTTTTTTAGATTTCTAATGATTAATGGGAATATGTTAATCTCTTTTCCTACTAGGAACTCCATTAATAAAATTTTTATCGTAGAGATTTATACTTATTATTCCTATAAATATCAGATTTACTCATATTTTAATTTTTTTTTAGATTTCTAATGATTAATGGGAATATGTTGATCTCTTTTCCTACTAGGAACTCCATTAATAAAAATTTTAATCGTAGATTTATACTTATTATTCCTATAAATATAAGATTTACTCATAATTAAATTTTTTTTCAAGATTTCTAATGATTAATGGGAATATGTTGATCTCTTTTCCAACTAGGAACTCCATTAATAAAATTTTAATCGTAGATTTATATTTATTATTCCTATAAATATCAGATTTACTCATATTTTAATTTTTTTCTAGATTTCGAATGATTAATGGGAATATGTTAATATCTTTTCCTACTAGGAACTCCATTAAAAAAATTTTTATCGTTGAGATTTATACTTATTATTTCTATAAATATCAGATTTGCTCATATTTTAATTTTATTTTAAGATTTCTAATGAATGGAATATGTTAATCTCTTTTCCTACTAGGAACTACATTAATAAAATTTTTATCGTTGAGATAAATACTTATTATTCCTATAAATATCAGATTTACTCATATTTTAATTTTTTTTTAGATTTCTAATGATTAATGGGAATATGTTAATCTCTTTTCCTACTAGGAACTCCATTAATAAAATTTTTATCGTAGAGATTTATACTTATTATTCCTATAAATATCAGATTTACTCATATTTTAATTTTTTTTTAGATTTCTAATGATTAATGGGAATATGTTGATCTCTTTTCCTACTAGGAACTCCATTAATAAAATTTTAATCGTAGATTTATATTTATTATTCCTATAAATATCAGATTTACTCATATTTTAATTTTTTTCTAGATTTCGAATGATTAATGGGAATATGTTGATCTCTTTTCCTACTAGGAACTTCATTAATAAAATTTTTATCGTTGAGATTTTTACTTATTATTTCTATAAATATCAGATTTACTCATATTTTAATTTTTTTTAGATTTCTAATGATTAATGGGAATATGTTAATCTCTTTTCCTACTAGGAACTCCATTAATAAAATTTTTATCGTAGAGATTTATACTTATTATTCCTATAAATATCAGATTTACTCATATTTAATTTTTTTTTAGATTTCTAATGATTAATGGGAATATGTTAATCTCTTTTCCTACTAGGAACTCCATTAATAAAATTTTTATCGTAGAGATTTATACTTAATATTCCTGTAAATATCAGATTTACTCATATTTTAATTTTTTTTTAGATTTCTAATGTTTAATGGGAATATGTTAATCTCTTTTCCTACTAGGAACTCCATTAATAAAATTTTTATCGTTGAGATAAATACTTATTATTCCTATAAATATCAGATTTACTCATATTTAATTTTTTTTTAGATTTCTAATGATTAATGGGAATATGTTAATCTCTTTTCCTACTAGGAACTCCATTAATAAAATTTTTATCATAGAGATTTATACTTATTATTCCCATAAATATCAGATTTACTCATATTTTAATTTTTTTTTAGATTTCTAATGATTAATGGGAATATCTTGATCTCTTTTCCTACTAGGAACTCCATTAATAAAATTTTAATCGTAGATTTATACTTATTATTCCTATAAATATAAGATTTACTCATAATTAAATTTTTTTTCAAGATTTCTAATTATTAATGGGAATATGTTGATCTCTTTTCCAACTAGGAACTCCATTAATAAAATTTTAATCGTAGATTTATATTTATTATTCCTATAAATATCAGATTTACTCATATTTTAATTTTTTTCTAGATTTCGAATGATTAATGGGAATATGTTAATATCTTTTCCTACTAGGAACTCCATTAAAAAAATTTTTATCGTTGAGATTTATACTTATTATTTCTATAAATATCAGATTTGCTCATATTTTAATTTTATTTTAAGATTTCTAATGATTAATGGGAATATGTTAATCTCTTTTCCTACTAGGAACTACATTAATAAAATTTTTATCGTTGAGATAAATACTTATTATTCCTATAAATATCAGATTTACTCATATTTTAATTTTTTTTTAGATTTCTAATGATTAATGGGAATATGTTAATCTCTTTTCCTACTAGGAACTCCATTAATAAAATTTTTATCGTAGAGATTTATACTTATTATTCCTATAAATATCAGATTTACTCATATTTTAATTTTTTTCTAGATTTCTAATGATTAATGGGAATATGTTGATCTCTTTTCCTACTAGGAACTCCATTAATAAAATTTTAATCGTAGAGATTTATATTTATTATTCCTATAAATATCAGATTTACTCATATTTTAATTTTTTTCTAGATTTCAAATGATTAATGGGAGTATGTTGATCTCTTTTCCTACTAGGAACTCCATTAATAAAATTTTTATCGTTGAGATAAATACTTATTATTCCTATAAATATCAGATTTACTCATATTTTATTTTTTTAGATTTCTAATGATTAATGGGAATATGTTAATCTCTTTTCCTACTAGGAACTCCATTAATAAAATTTTTATCGTAGAGATTTATACTTATTATTCCTATAAATATCAGATTTACTCATATTTAATTTTTTTTTAGATTTCTAATGATTAATGGGAATATGTTAATCTCTTTTCCTACTAGGAACTCCATTAATAAAAATTTTATCGTAGAGATTTATACTTATTATTCCTATAAATATCAGATTTACTCATATTTTAATTTTTTTTAGATTTCTAATGATTAATGGGAATATGTTGATCTCTTTTCCTACTAGGAACTCCATTAATAAAATTTTAATCGTAGATTTATATTTATTATTCCTATAAATATCAGATTTACTCATATTTTAATTTTTTTCTAGATTTCGAATGATTAATGGGAATATGTTAATATCTTTTCTTACTAGGAACTCCATTAATAAAATTTTTTATCGTTGAGATTTATACTTATTATTCCTATAAATATCAGATTTACTCATATTTTAATTTTTTTTAGATTTCTAATGATTAATGGGAATATGTTGATCTCTTTTCCTACTAGGAACTCCATTAATAAAATTTTTATCGTAGAGATTTATACTTATTATTCCTATAAATATCAGATTTACTCATATTTTAATTTTTTTTTAGATTTCTAATGATTAATGGGAATATGTTAATCTCTTTTCCTACTAGGAACTCCATTAATAAAATTTTTATCGTTGAGATTTATACTTATTATTTCTATAAATATCAGATTTACTCATATTTTAATTTTTTTTAGATTTCTAATGATTAATGGGAATATGTTAATCTCTTTTCCTACTAGGAACTCCATTAATAAAATTTTTATCGTAGAGATTTATACTTATTATTCCTATAAATATCAGATTTACTCATATTTTAATTTTTTTTTAGATTTCTAATGATTAATGGGAATATGTTAATCTCTTTTCCTACTAGGAACTCCATTAATAAAATTTTTATCGTTGAGATAAATACTTATTATTCCTATAAATATCAGATTTACTCATATTTTAATTTTTTTTAGATTTCTAATGATTAATGGGAATATGTTAATCTCTTTTCCTACTAGGAACTCCATTAATAAAATTTTTATCGTAGAGATTTATACTTATTATTCCTATAAATATCAGATTTACTCATATTTTAATTTTTTTTTAGATTTCTAATGATTAATGGGAATATGTTAATCTCTTTTACTACTAGGAACTCCATTAATAAAATTTTTATCGTAGAGATTTATACTTATTATTCCTATAAATATCAGATTTACTCATATTTTAATTTTTTTTTAGATTTCTAATGATTAATGGTAATATGTTAATCTCTTTTCCTACTAGGAACTCCATTAATAAAATTTTTATCGTTGAGATAAATACTTATTATTCCTATAAATATCAGATTTACTCATATTTTAATTTTTTTTAGATTTCTAATGATTAATGGGAATATGTTAATCTCTTTTCCTACTAGGAACTCCATTAATAAAATTTTTATCGTAGAGAATTATACTTATTATTCCTATAAATATCAGATTTACTCATATTTAATTTTTTTTTAGATTTCTAATGATTAATGGGA